TGATCAAAGGTTCAAACTATAATGGAATTTAAGGAAACACCCAGTGATAATAAGTTATCTTTGGTAAAGCCCACAAACAGAATTAAGAGTTATATAAAGATCAAAAATATCCTCATATACAGTTATAAAAATCCAGCTATTATAGTTATATCCAATATTGATGTATCTGTTTCATAAACTTCACTTCTACTAAGTTCACAATTCATCAACTTACATTACATAACATATTCCATCTATGTATAAATGTATGTATTATGTGTGCATACATTCCAGCATAGCTGTACTTATATCATTCATTCATTCATTATCCTATAGACGTAAGTTGATGTTTTTCATCCATATCATTTCAAATTGCCTGTTCTACATATGTGAATGTATGTATTATGTATATGCTCTGTATTTACGTTTGCCTATGCTTAGACTATGAATAATCCTTTAGTTTTCGTTAAGAAATGTTAAGAAACCGTTCATTTCTTTATCTATCTGTCTGTCTGTTTAAGTGCCAAACATTTAAGGGCACCGAGCTCCTCTGCTCTCTCTACACAGACTTCTTCTTTTACTAGTCATACTCTTCTTTCTAGCCTTCCTGTAACTCCTTCTAAACAGACTCCTCTCTTCCTTCTCTCTCATTTAGTTCGGAAAGTCAGATTCATTACTTAAATCTATCTTTTATGAATTAGATAATAGGAAAAAAATTTTGTATGAATTATGTTTGCTTTTACTTCAGTTGAGTTCCGCACTGCTTTCTAAATCAAAATCCATAATCCAAAAAATCATATAAAATAACCAGCTGAAAATCTTTAAGAATGTGTTTAAGGTTGATCAGATCCAATAGAGAAAATTCGTACACCTCATTGCATATACTTATGCCATAAACTATGAGTACTTTCATATAGCGAATTGAAGTTTTTACAAGAGATAAATCGTGGTTCTATATTACAACCTCTTAACCTAGAAATATTTGCTTAGACATATCATTTCTCAGTGTTCATATGAATATATACATATATATTTCAATATATTAAATGTGCATGCTTTGTAGCACCTGATACTATATACCTGATACTATATATATCATATACATTTTTATCTATAAAATGTCGGATATAACCGACTGCGTAATGCTCTTCTTATGCCACAATATCTTGCCTCTTGAAGGAAGCCTCTGGCGTGGGGCTTTTATTTATATTTGGGTCAATATGGGTTCATCACAGATAAAGCACAATCTACAAACACAAATTATAATTATATATATAATACAAATTATTATTCTGTTAATAAGTGTGTTATTTCCGATCTGAGCTTTTATGGTTTTAGCAGCGGATTCTAAACATCAATTCCGATTCCTAATTGGCAAATTCTATTTCGAGTGAATATGAACTTTACTTGAACTAAAACACCGAAAGATATTGAATGCCGTTTCGTATGGTCAGACATTATTTATAGATCTACTATTATAGCTAAGCTATTATTCTTTAAATATTCAGTCTTTTTAAGACAAACTTCTTATGTGAAATTAGTTTTTGAACTGCAATAAATGAGATTTCGTATTCAAAAGAGTTGATAAAAGCAAACTCCGTATATCTTACACTAATATTTAGGGAGTAAGGATTGGCATTTGGTAGAGAATATTAGATATTTGCCAATGTAAGCAATAAGAACTATTTGATTTAGATAAGTATGTAAATACCTTATGCATTTTCAGGTACAAACAATTGTAGACCACCATTATGACGCCATAAAAACAGCGTCGCGGGTTCGGTTTGCCGATCCTAACATTGAAGAAATACAAAATCACGTATGTATGCTTTCAAATATGAAATATTATAATTAAGTTAGAGATTAGTGCTAAAATAAATAAGTTTTAAAATACATTTTAAGCATAAAAAAGGTCGAATGGTAAACAGAAAAAAATATAAATTTAAAATATAATATAAAATATATATTATAGAGACAGTTTCATATATTTTTTTTTATTTTTTTAGTTATGTAAACCCTATTTTTGGATTTTTATAATTTTTATATATGATTTTGTTATAATTTTTATAGAGATCAATTTACCTAATTTTGAGCTAGTTTTAGATAAATCATAATTATATTTGACTTACTCCTCTATAGGATACTTTAAGCGAAGAGAAACGCAATTCTATAGACTCGGATGGTCCAGGGAGTACGGAGGCTCTTGATATCACATCCAACAAAGATGAGTCAACAGAGAAAGCTGATGATAACATCAAATCCAGCATTAAGCCGTAAGATCCATAGTTTACCAGATACTCTTCGATTAGCTAAATCTTATCTGTTACAGTGACGAGTTCAATGTTCGTCGCATGCACACGGCAATAAAACTAAATGAGGTAATATTAGAAAAGTCCCAAGATGCCCAATTGGTCATCATGAATTTACCGGGTCCTCCGAGGGAAGTAAGAGCGGAACGTGAAAGCAATTGTAAGTAAAAGATCTTAGCCTCATATACCAATGCTTATGCATATTTACGTAATCTTTCTATTCAGATATGGAATTCCTGGAAGTTTTAACAGAAGGACTTGAAAAAGTATTAATGGTTCGTGGAGGAGGTCGTGAAGTTATAACAATTTACTCTTAAAGGGCATTAATCGCCCGACGTTTAAGAGTTCGCAACATTAGACAAGTTTAAGAATCAATCAAATTTTTAAATGAAGGTTATTATTAATTTGTTATATTAAATCATATGTCCAAATATTTTATTTTTACGTAAATAAAATATCAAAAATTGTAACAATAATTCAAAAATGTCTCTTATTATTCGTTATCAGCTCTACAAAACTTAGTAATTGTATGAAGGGCTGGCTAAAAACATAAACATATGCAATATTTAATGACTTAGATTAATAGTCTTATATAGCACTAAATAATATTAAATATACATAAATAAATAAAAAAAAAACAATGTTGTCTTCCCTCTAGGTACTCTTCCCAAAAAGTATTTGAAGCTCCTTTTTGGATAAGTTGTAGGGATAATGTAGGCTTGTGGGAACATAAACTTTGCCAGTTATTTGCCTGAAAGTAAATGAAGATATTAATAATATATGAGGTGGTATATTCAGGAACGTATCTCAAAAATATATGCATATAGAAATATAGAGCTTTACTTATTGAAATTCTCCTCGTATCCCACTGTATAGTGATGTGGTATCTTGGCTACTTTAGAAAATGATAGGCATTCGCTTGGAGGCGTACTCAGTGCATAGAATGGATAATCGAAGGTATTTATATAGATATCGACGCACAATCCATGACTGCCCAGGTGCAATTGACTTGCGATCGACGGCTGGCTGAGTCCGCAGGTGCCTAACATGATATTTCTGTGGCAAGAATATATGAACGTGCCTTTATCGCGACTTGAATGAAAACATTGCACGTGCCTTGCGGCTTTTGAATGATCGACGTTAATTGGATCGAAGCCAGGTCCAGCCATATCACAAGCTGAAATTAATAAGAAAGGATTACTTAACAATATTAGATATATATACATATATCTAATCTCTGATTACTGTCTATATTTTGAAGCGTGAAATGTGGCTGCAATATGCGACCCACAGCTGATGCCAACTGCCCGCCAAAGCTGAAGCCAAACAAATACCCGCGACCCGGATCGAATCCATATTGAAAGAGAGATATTAGAATGGAGACAATCACATCAGTTATGTGATCGAAGTTCGAATACAATCTAAGAGAAAATATGGAGATATATAGATTTGATTTATTATCTGATCTTATGCATACCTCATGTAGGATGCGCTGGCGGCAATACTGTAATCGATGCATATTACGCAGCCTCTGCGATAAAAACTTAACCCTGAAAATTGGTAATATCATTAAAAGAACTGAGAGCACTACTAAGACTTACTATCGATCAGCTCGATTGCCCACTCATCAGAACAACTTTGTATCCAGCCATGAAGTATAATAGAGAATTTATCTGTCGGCAAACATCCGGAATTATCCAGCTTCAATTCATTCAATGGAACAGAAGTTTCCAAGGTTTTTGTATTGTTTCTAAACGCATATAATATAAGAAAAAAAACATATATATTTAATTCTTTCAGTTTTATATATTTTATATTTTCACTTACTTATAAAATTGTATTGTTAAAGTGTTGCGAACATCAAGTCGTAAAGATCTTTCTTGATAAACTTAAGAATTCATTTCTTATTTGAGAGCTCGTTATACGAAATATCAGATCATACATACTTATTGTTTCGTTATTTATGCTGTGAGCATGGTCACTAAATCTCTGAACGATCGTCGAAGAAACATTGGATTTAAAGAAAAGACAAGTCCAAATTATGCTAAACAAATGAAAATATGAATTTCTTCTAGAATATTTCATTATTTATATTACTTCTATTTAACTATCTTAAATAAAAACTTAAAAACAAATAATGTACAATACAAATAATATAAAACTTTCTATGAGACTTTTTACCTTTCGGTTGGAACTAACCTGTGCGACGTAGTCAAATTAATCGGTAGTAGCATGAGTTACTCAGCGTTCACATAAAAATTATGGTAAAACTGTGATTCTTCTTCTTAACTGAAACAAATAAAAATTCATTTAAATCAATATTCGTTTTTACTACCTTCCCAAAAGATATTGAACAATACGTAAGAAATCATAAAAAAGAGTTTATAGATATATAGGTATATTTATAAAATATGTATATTATGAACAAAAATTATTCAATTTGTATTCATCACTCAGCATACTACTGACGTAGCATTACCGGCCTTGCGTCAGCACGACACTGAGAGTAGAGCCCACAGGAATGATTGATTTTAATTAGTTGTCAAGTTTCTTATTGAATTATGCATACATAAAACTGATATTTAAGCGAGGGAAGGAAATGAGAAATAAACCGACGACACTATTTCCACTGTAGTTGCCAAGTAATACCAAAGAAGTTCGTATATCTGCATAAAATATAAAAGTAGTCGATGACAACGATAACTAGTAAAATAATTGATTCAAAGATAAATACATTTCTTGAAATTTGAATTCACCAAAAATATATTTTAATATATACTTATTATGCACAACTTTTAAGGTTGAATATTCAATATTTTTTTGTTCTATTGATTAGGACAATCATTTGGAGACTGTTTTTTGCTGGGTTTGCTTTGACCCTCGTTCTCATCATCGTCGAATTCATCATCTTCGTTTTCGAATTCTTCTTCATCTTCATCGTCTTCGTCATCAACAATGTCACCCGTGAAATAAAGCACAGCTTTTGGAATAATTCTTGCACGTAAAAAGTGACCGATTTCGAAATCAGTTGCCAATATCTGAAGAAAAATGAACAGTTAAAAACAATTTATATAAAACATATTTAAAAATCATAAGCTTACTTGCTGAGACTCATCGTCGATTTCTTCCTTGTCTTCCGAAACTTCTGGTGGATTAAAGAAATTAAAGAAGGAATCTGTGGGAACCTGTTTAACAATGGTGCGCACTGCACCACGCTCCTTGTGCTTCTGTTTCTTCCGGATAGTCTTAACGGTCAAGTTCATTTTCTTTTCCCAATTTATAACGCAACCTTTGCACTTATAAATTTCTGGTCCTTCGAACGCAAATGGATCCTCAAGATCGACGGTGGACTTCAGGAAGTATTGCTTCGTAAGTACCGAGTTCGAAAAGAATTCATTTTTATCAAAATGAAAACCTAAAGTATAAGAATGCTGAAAATATAAAAGAAAATTAAATTAAAAAAGAAGCCATAAATTATATATTATTATATTATATATAAAAAACTGAATGTAAACAGACTCACTAATTTTTTGTCTTAGGTTCCAAAAAAAAAGTATAACTTATGAGGCCTCAAGTGAGAGAAGGATATTTATTATACAGGGGCATGGGAATTATGGATCTGTGTATTCAATAAGAGTCTAAAACTTTAATATTTAAAATGATGCGATTTATGAATACGGACAGACCAATGGGTACGACTCGATATCTTAATTATGCTGTAAATAGTTACTTCATAGGTTTTTTCAATTCACATTACTCGTTTGCAATACGTTTAGTGTAAAAACTGGCAATGATATTTACGTACTTCATCATCATATTTAATTGAAATGTCCGTAAGATGGCGAATAGCTGGCTCATCATGAGACTGCACCATTTCAGACAGCATTCCTGTATTTCGGAACACTGTAAGCCAAAAATCTGGGATTCCAGCCACATCCTGGGGCATTGCTTTTATATTTTTAAGAGATTTTTGGAATGCATCGCTGGCATCTCCATCGATGGGTAAAACCTCTGGTTCTTTCCACTTTGGTTTCTCTTCCGCGGGTTCCACTTTGCCGGTAATTATTTCTCTGCGCTTGTCTAAAATGGGTTGATAGCTCAATTGATACTTTTTCTCCAAATTGTAAACCTCTTCAAAAAATTTAGCTTCCATTTGCAATTGGTCCAATTGCATGTTTTTCAGAACAGTGATCCTCTTCTGAACACTTTCTGGCAACGATTTAACCATTTCTTGCAAAAACTGCCGCCGTAAAACTGAATTCATATAAGCTGGCCTGTCGTAGAGGAATTTAAATGTGAATATCCAGAAAAAGCGATAGAAGCTTAAAAATATGTTTAATTACATGGATTGACAGTCAGAATTCGACTTATCGTCATCGAACTCATTGCCCGACTCAGCGCCAACCTGTCCTTCCTGTGGAGCATCCATTCCGAATAAATATGAGGTTCTGAAACGCGTATACACACATGTTTATTAATATAAAATTGTTTTTTTTTTATGTTTCAAATCATTTATATATATAAGTCAATGTACACATATTACAAGATTAAAAACATAAGGACATATCAAGTTAAATAATTATTGAAAAGATTAGACATCATAATAAAATATTAATTTACGACTTGGTTTGATTGAGAAAAAAGCTTATTGCATATACTATACACAACGCACATTCCTAAGCACTAAAACACGTGTGCTATGTACTTAGAATTTCTTCTGCATATATCTACGCACTACAATCAACTAAACAGCAACTTATATTCTTTCAATTAAAAACAGATTCCCTTTTTTCCAAGAAAGACTAAAATACATTCTTATTTGAAAATAATGTAATTTTAAAACGCATACCTCAAGACAACAGCAAGAACGAAGAGCACGCCGCAACGATGTCGATCCAAAAGAATTAACTGAACACCAGAGATGAGAGACTTGACTGAAACCAATAATGTAGCAAGTACTTAAAAAGTAACCAGTTACTCTTATAGCCATACAAAAGTAACTGCGCCAAAATGAACAGCATGCTATTTATACAAACAATATTTAAATTTATTATCATATTGCACATTTTTAAAATGAAAAAAAAATTGACAATTAAATTGTTTTGCCCACTATATAGGCCAAATTTTCGATTCTCCTCATCACTAGTTCGATATTTAACTTTCGATTGATGAATGAATTTCCAAGCTTTAATTTGCTATTTTCTAAACTTATAGCTTCAAGTTATTAACTTATATCGTATTCTAAATTATTTTTGTATTGAAACAAACGACACGAATCCTTTCTTATGGATTTCAAACTGAAACCCGGCTATTCTATACTGAAGGTTTCCTTTTATGATGTTAGGATTGTAGGGAAAAAGCTAAATGATCGATAGCTGTATTTTCTAAATCTTATATATGTTTCTCACATAGAATATTTCTTACCGTAGAATATTTAGCTAACGTTATTCAAATACACACAGACGAAAATTATTAATACACATAACCTTTTTTGGGGTCTCCCTCTCAACTAAGTGAATCAATAATCAAAATTAATTATTTTTAAACATAAGTTGCGATAATTTATTCATCGCTAATAATTCTTTTAAATAAGAGCGGTTATCTTGGAAAAGAAAAATTTATGGCAACAGATAATTTACTTATGAAGTTGAAAAACAATGCAAATGTTAGTTAACGGCTATATAATTATAGCAAATTTCGATGTTCAGTTTGAAATACTAATAACAATATGGTGCTACGTATTGCTAATCCTCACCAGTATTAGAGTAGAGGTGATCGCTTTATTTCCCATTAAAATTTTGAAAGCCCATAAATACAAAAAACTAAGTTTAGTTTTTAGGTACAAATTGTAATGTTATAATTTACCTTGTAACTAATTGTTTTGTTTTTTTTTACAACAACAAAATATAGCAGCAGCCTTACAAAAAAGAAAAACTTAAAAATATATTTTTAAAAGGCTAAAAATGCTGACTGCAATGAATTATACAATATGTAATAAAATAAATTGATGGCGTGATTATTGTCTAAGATCAGCAAAATGTTTACATGTTCACGCTGCGTTTTTTTCGGTTTCGTCGAAATCTAGTGTGTTAAGGACATTAACATCGAGTTCTGGATCCGCATATTCCAAGATATTAAAATCATCGCCAATTTCCGATGTTAGGGATTTAAGCAGGTCATCATCATCGCCTTCGCCGAATCCTCCTAAAATATCTCCAAACCCGACATTTTCTAATTCGACTGCTGAAGACGAAATGCCTTCCTGTGATTCCGCTATTTTAATATCAAGCTGTGTTTTTCCGTCATGTTCTAAGCCTCTAATGTCTGTATGCTGGGGATTTCCACTCATACTTAACATTGGATTATTTTGCGTTAAAGCAGAATTTTGCATCAGCCCAAGTCTCAAAACATCATTTGGCATAAAGTATTCTGAGTTGGAGTTCATTAGGACCGCTTCAGAATTATTTTTTTGCAATAGATTTCTCAGCTTTTTATCTCCAACTGGTTCAGGATCAAATGAGGTAGTATGTTCCATTCGATTGTCAACAGATGGCATTTTCGATAACGATGGTGAAGCTGTATGTATAGCTGTCCTTTGCATTGTAGATTTAACTACAAGATTTTCATTAGATATTACCATTTGTTGATGTGAATTGGCGATTGATCCAATATAGCAAGGTGCTTCGTAGGAGACCCCACCTGTATACAAACAAAATTGTAACATTTAGAAATGGAACAAATTGTGTCATAGCATACAGTTGCTATATTTTCTATAACACTTTTTTGTTTGACCGACTTATTTAAGTTTAAAATCAATACTATTAATATATATTTACACTTATTGTTATTACCAAACAAATTTGATTGATCTTCCTTTGGCTTACAGGGTTGATGTTTCCAAGAGCGTCCATCATCTTGCTTTTCCAGTTTTGTAGGTTGGGTGACTTTGCACTGTTCACGTCTCTGTCGTAATGCAGACCGATTGTCCTTTGCTTTTTGTAAGAACGGTGCTTTCTTTTCGTTGCATAAAGATCGCCACCTCTTTAAAATTTGCTTGCAGCGGTCAGTCCAATTAGGATAAGACTCTTTCAGATTTGCATGCTCTGTATTAGCGTACAACACTGCCGAAATTGTTGCCATAAGTCCAAGATCTATATGAAGAAAATATTGTGTTTATTTTTATTCCATTTTTTACTATATTAATATTTACCTTCATCTTTTCGCATTTTTTCAGCTGTCTTTTGCGTGCCAACATTTATGCACTCTATGGGCTCGCTAGGCTTAGCCTCTTCGACAACTCTTTTTTCAGTTTGCAAAGGAAGTTGCGCTGTTATAGTTTGCGGTTTTGCCTGATATTGAAGCTGTGGCGACTTTGCAGTTATGTTTTGTGGCAAAACCAGTTTGCTTTGGAACTTTTGGTCATGACTCACTTGTGGCGACACAGCGTAGCTGTCCGCTAAAAGTGGCGGCTCGCTAAAATTCAATTTTGAAATTAAAATTTTAAATTAAAAATCAGATCAAAGTATAATTTACCTTATCGCAGTTTTGGTATTATCGGTTGATGCGATATAATTGATTGAAGCATTAATTTCGTCTAATTCTGGTATGCCTTGAGTAGTCTGAGAAAAGTAATTAGAAATATATAATATTAGACAATGGAGGTCAATATTTTAAATATTCTTACCAAAGTATCCATAGAATGTACAATATTGGGCGCCGAAGTATTTCTTGAAATATCTGACATATTCGAATCTGGTTGAAAGGGAATAAAGGTTTTATTACTGTTCTAGAAACTAATTTTGTACTGTTAAAAACTTACCAATCAAAGCTCCACCAGTTACAAGCTTTTTGTTTTGTTGTGCAGTTGTTGAGAATTGATTGGCAAATACGTTCTTGTTCTCGTTCAAAGTTTTTTCGACTTTAACGCATTTCAATGACTTCACTGGACTTTTATTAGCCATTTCACTCTCCGGAAGTTTTTCATTTGAATGAGTAAAGTACATTTTCATTGTGGATCCGATCTCGTCTGACGATTCTGAATCGTATGCTACCACTTCGCCAGATTCCAACAGAGGTTTCCCAAAGAAAGCTTCTTGTAAATATGCCGGATACGCTTCGATCAACTTGTTTTTCTGTTTTTTGCGTATGATTTTCTTTTTTTTATCAGCAACTAACATTGCATTTAGTTGATCAACCGAGTCGTCATTATCTTTCTTAAGTGCTCTGTTTCGAACTGAAAATCCACCGATACCCAACTTCTGAAGATTGCGTTGACGTTTTTTGCGTAAGACTTGGATACCATCATCATTAGTAGAAATGGAAAAGCCTTCTGGTATTGCAGTTTCCGTTCTATCCCAAATCATTCCATCTTTATATTTATCGCCCTGCACATCATCAGACACTGCACTTTCGTTTTGTGGATCCTTTGAATTGCCCATTGTCTGGCGCATTTTTCTTTTCCGTTTAATTTCGGTTGAAAGTGATTTGATCATGTTCAAACCATTTTCACTTAAGCATACACCATCTATCCAATGTATAGCTTCTGTGCTCTCCAAGAGTTCGTTTGTCAATCGAATATTACGATCCGCAAGCCCCATCACCTTTCCTTCTTGACCCACGTCCGCTAAAAGCTTGGATGCCGCTGAATTCTCTTCACTTAAATTTGTATTTGCATTTTGTGGCAAAATCGCTTTCGTGTTGGCGCGGCATTTCATGCACTTGTACACATTATTATCATAATATTCCATAGTGTACTGCGTGTTTATTGAATCACACAAAAAATGTGACCATTGCTCACATTGTTCACATTGAATGATCATTTCGCCATCGCTGTAGCTTTTCTTGCATATAAAACAGTTGTTTTGGCTAGCACATGGCGGGCATTCAGGCACACTCGGTTCATTGTAGTTAATCTTCTCAGTCGGATTTCGACCACATTTCTGACAGATAGTACAAAAAGAACATTTCCAATTTCCATGTGGCACCGTCTCCAAAGGCGGATTGACACAATATATATGGTAAGAAATATCACATTCATCACAAAGAAGCAAACGGGCCTCGTCATTCTTCTTGCCACAGCCCTCACAGACTGTACAATCTAAGCAACGCCAACCCTTTTGCAAAATGCCTCTCGAATGCTTGACACTGGCACAGTACGGATGATAGCATTGGCCACATTGTGCACAAGTGATTAAAACCGAATCGCTTTCAATTCCCAAAGTGCCGCACATGACACAAATGTCCTGCGAGAGAACAAACTTATCACGAGCCGAACACAATAATAATTTCTTGTCACTGGAAAGGTCTGTATCCATATTACGGCCAATGTAACGATCATTTGAGCCGCTTTGAAGAACAAGTTGGCGTCCTTTTCCTCGATTGCTGCGCTTTTTCCCTAACTGTGACATTGCTCCCATGCGGTGTAATACAAATTTGCCACCTTTGCCACGAATATTAGTTAAGCAAACCTTTTTCTTAGTGCTTGGCAATTTGAGGGGATCTTCACTGTTTACTTCAATGCAAGGCTTACCATTTAATGGTTCGATTTCCACGTGTCTTATATTAAACTGTTCTGACGTTTGCATTTCACCCAGGGATCGTTCGAGCGGGTCAACAATCTTATTGTTGCCGTTAGCTGAATTACTTTTACATAAAGGACAAATATAATCATAGTCCGGATTATATTCTTTTGTTTTGTGATAAGCAGTCAAATCAGCTTCTTCATCACATGTGCTATGAACAAATCTGAAAAGAATAATTTGGATTGAATATTTAAGTAAGACTAAGATACTATTTTCATCACTTACTTGTGACAGCAACTGCATTTAACCATTTCCTTGTAAGCTGCAGCTCTATATGCCTTTTGGCAAATTGGGCATGAAAATCCCTTGTTTCTTTGCTGATAGCACGAATCACAAATTGTATAGTGACTGTGCCAGCGAGATGAGCTACCGCCACCTGGCGTTCGAGATCCACAGTCCGTGCAAACACGACATCGCTGCAATTAAATATGTGGAAAGAAATAAGAAAAAGATCACGAAAAATATAGAAATGCACATGAATTGGGCTATCATTTCATTAAATCAATATATAACTCCAATATGTATAAATGGATTAATAATTAACTTACATTACATTTCCAGCCATATTTGGGAATCGAAGATATTACAGGTCGTAAGCATGTGGCATGATAGATCTTTTGGCATTGCTCACATTTGATGAATTTAATATCGTTCGCTTCTTGTTGTCTACAAATTTGACATTTTGTACAGCGGGCACAACTCCAACCAGATCTCGTATCTAATATTAAAGAATTTAATATAAATTTAAAAAAAAAAAAACAACAATTTATACCAAATCAATATAATTACCAGGTAAATTAGCTAGTCCAATGCAAGTGGAATGAAAATGATCTCCACATGAGCAACACATAATTAATTTTGACAGATCACCCAGTGAAGAACACGTTAAACAGCCAACATTATTTTCAGTACCTAGAAAAGACAAAAATGAATATTAATATTTATACTTATGGTATGCAATTGCTTAACTTACAAATTACTGGCACCTGGCTCAAGTGCTCTGTACAGAATACAGTGAAGCTTTCCAAGATAAGAAAACAACCGGCTGCAGTGGCACACGGCCAATGATGCATTTGTCGGCAATTCATTTTGCAAGTAATGGATGCTCCGTATTGTCCACAGAAACTGCATTTCTGTTCCAAATACTCGTTTAAATTGCTTAAAAATTGAAATACATCCTGTTCCTTGATTTGAACTTTTTTACGCAGAGTCCACATTATACACATACGATGTACATAAACAAACTCGTCATCAAAGAACACCACGGCATTTAGCAAGTCGGCATAGCCAATTTTGTCCAGCTCATAAGTGTTCTCACCGTTGCCTACATTTTTGTTTTTTAGCGCAGATTTCATTATGCGAATAATACTCTGATCCTTTTCTGTTTCAATGGATTTCCTTTCCTTGAGATCCAAAGGAACTTTTAGTTGAAACATGGTCCCTTGACCAAGACCGCTTCGCTCCCCAAGATTACATAGACAACATACTTTTCCGGGGAACTTCTCGGGAAAGTACGGTAGCTCATCTACGTTGGGAACAACAGTCTTTTCATCTATGTTTCCTAACATGTTTAGGCTCATTTTATATTGATTAACATAAGTTTAAATTCTACATATACAAACTAGAGATGAACAACATTAACAAGAATTATCGATTTTTGTAATAAGTTATTATCTGGAAGTAACTAATAGAGTACATAGCCGATATGGTAACACAACAATCTGGATGCGTTTTTATTCAATGGAAAAATTGCCGCACTCTGCGGCAAACATCGACAAACTTAGGGATATCAAAATATCAGATATATTATTATTTATATTAAAACAAATAAAAACTCTCCAGTATTAGAAGCTGTTACTTTAGGTAACAAAATATCTGTTTAAAAAAAAAGCTGACGCTATTCAGTATCATTATCATTAATTTGTTGAATGTCTAAATAGCGTCGTCATAGAATTTGTGTATGTATATATGTATGTAGACATATGTTCGAGATAACAGTTATATCAAAAATTGCTTCTTCAGTTAAGCATGTCGTGCACCTAAGGGGTCATGTAATAAATAAAATAATCTTTGTGCACAACGTAAAATGTATGTATGCAAAAGCTTAAATAGTTTACGATGGCCCTTTATCGACCCAGAGGCACTTTGGCACGTGTTATTTACGCCAAATTTCATAATGACAATTTTTTAGAGAACATAGACACACAACAGGTAAGTTCATGTTTATGCATATTTCTTTTGAAATATTAACATATAGTGATAATATATATTTTTAGTGGTATTCCTTAAATTGTGAATTACCCCAAAAATTCCAATCGAAATTTGTGGATCTTAAACAGCCTGACCCAACGACAGTACAATGGCTGGAACGGACAAAGATGTTGTCCTCAAACATTTGGCTGCATTTATGGCATGCATTGGCCAGGTCTGTTCTCCAGTTTTTTATGACACAGACCGATATCAACGGACTTCTGAAACGTGGTTCGATGTTCATTTTGTCAGAAGAGCAATTCTGTAGACTGCTGGAAGCAGGGGGATTTCGAACGAGATCTTTAAGCGAACCGGTAAATTATACCGTTATCTTATATAAACAGATACAACATTCGCCATGTTTATTTTAGATAACACTCTTGGATATTGGAGCCGGGGACGGAGAAGTCTCGTTGCGTGTGGCAAATAGTGTAAATGAACTTAGCGGCAATGCTGTTTTACAAGTATTTGCCACGGAAGCTAGTTGGACAATGCGAGAGAGGCTAAAGAAGCTGAATTTTAATGTAGTTACCGAAATACGTGAGCTGCAAAACGTAGATTTAATCTCCTGTCTAAATGTACTAGACCGCTGCTTCGATCCTTTTAAGCTTTTAGAAGATATACATGCTGCATTAGCTCCTACAGGACGAGCTGTAATTGCATTAGTTCTTCCATATATGCATTATGTTGAAACAAATACATCGCATTTACCGTTAAGGCCACTTCTGGACAATTCCAATAAGAGAAATGGCCGCGAGACATCGTTTGAGGAAGAAGCCGCGATGTTTTTGGAACTATTAGAAAATTGTGGCTTTCGCGTTGAGTCGTGGACGAAAGCTCCATATTTATGCGAAGGTGATCTTCGACAATCATTTTATTGGTTGATTGATCTTATTGTTGTAATTTCCAAAAAGCCTACAAATTGAAGTATTTTATTTTTATACTATATAATAAACTTTCCAAGCTAATTCCTATAAGCGTGACGTTTTTGAAATAGAAATTTATATTCTGTAAAGGAGCTCGTTTTCCTCCTATACGCTAGCGAATACAAGTCTTCTGTTGAATATCGTTTTCTTGATCGTAACATACAAAATTAAAAGCCCATTTTCGCTTAACTTTATCGACAAAATATTACAATTTTTATTGATATGTTGTATTAGAGTCAATCAATGAATTTGAACAGCCATTGATGTAGGCTTTATGCAACTTATTAACAAATTCCTTGTCGTTCTGAATAAGGTAAGTAAAGGCCTGCACGAATTGCGCAGAGTTAAGTGGAAAATATGGTTGCTCTGGTTCCGATTTGACGCTGGGCACATCAAACATGGTTGGCGGCATAAGCGCCGGCTTAGTATCCGGCTTGTCACCGACGAGCAGCCTTCTGAGACACTGCTCAGCTTCATCAGTTGCAATTAATGCGGAACCTGACGGTGATGATTCCTCTATGCTTTTCTCAAATTTAAGTTCACTTAGGAAAGAGTTCGGTTTGCCTACTGTATTCCGAGCCGTTGACGATGTTGTTGCCGTTAGAAATGGTGATAGCGGACATTGCGAAGAACCAACAAATTCGCCATCTCTTGTAGATGCCTCGATGGGCGTAACAGATCGCTGCTGTTTTTCTAGCTGATCTACCGAAAGAGGTTGTGGTCGATTCAAGTGAGACTCCACCGTAGCCTGCTTCGCAGACTCAAAGAACTTCATAACATTTCGCGAAGTCACGTTTTCGGGCTGAATAACTGTAGCTCCCGGCTGTGACTGGCAATTTAACTGTGCATTATATTCTTTTTGCGCCTGGCTTAGCATGTTGAATATGCTCGAGTTGCCCGGCTTCGAACATGCCAATAATGATGCCGGCTGTTGTTGTTTCTGCTGTTGTTGCCCGTTACTGGCCTTGTTTAGCAGCAAGCTATTTACCAGGCTACTGATACGATCGCACTCGTCGCTGTTGTAGAACCAGAAGCCACGGATGCGAGACCGCTCGTTGCGGTATAGCAGGAATGGTGGCTGCGATTGCAACTCCAAGCTGCCAGTTATTGGCTCCACGAATGACGTTGTGTTTAGTCGATTGTTAATGAATATGCTGTGAAATGGCTCCGCATTGCGATGGTAAATAAAAAAAGCGCCTTCAACATCCGTTTTCTCCCATTCATTTTGTTCCGAATTAAAGGTGTAAAATGCGACATGTGATGACGAGTCTACAATTTCTTTTGCGTATGGATCAATTTTCTTGATTGCCGACAAATTCATACGAGTAATGCTTTCGTCCGCCATGCTATAATATTTAAAACTATTATTGTATTCAAAGATTCAACTAGCCTCTTTTAAATGTTAGAGATGGACAATATTCGATTACTCTTAAATTATCATCAAGTACAATGGTCTTAAACAAATTACTCAAAAGAAAAATAAGGACAAGCATTCAAAAACTATTTATATGAATAAGCAATAAGAAAATAATATTGTAGATTGAGCTTAATACACATAAAAATATGCTTGTATATTTAATCGCTTATTTGACAGTGGAACCGGGTAACAGTATTAGAAATATTTAACAATATTTGCATGCCATCAATACTTTAAATAAATTCTTATTAAAATTATTTAGAAATAAAAAGCGTATGGTTATTAAAAAAGTAAAACGAAAGTAAAAAATTTAATTAAGCGTAAATGTAGACAAGTAAGTTCATGCATCAATATTTAATGTCATTTAGTAATTACTCGACACGTTACATTGTTATTTGTCTAAGTCAAAAATAAATGAAAACCTTATAAGCCATTAGCTAATAAAAAAACCAGGTCGATAGTTGGAATATTGGAAGTTAGTAACCTTTCGATTAACGGTTAGTCAGACTCTCGTAGGAAGTAACTGAATATTTATCTAATTACCAAGGGAATAGCCATACAATGCTCGATTGTGTTGATAGTTAATCGATATACTAATAGAAAAAGGCGCGAATGTACATATAGATATTTACGCACATACATATATTGTGATTATACATTGTTGTTAGCATGCAGAAGTCTATAACGTAAATATAAACAAACAAATTATAATTTATATTTTCTTAGTTTGTTATCTTTTTTCTTAATATAGCTCATTTTTTAAACCAAAAGATGAAGCTCAAAGCTTCACGAACGATGCACGGTAAGAACACAACCTATTTGCCAAAAAAAGGTAAACAAAATACTTTAAATAATTTTGCAGTAAGAAACAATCTCAATGTGCTATCATCGAGGAGAAGCCAAAAGTAGCTACACCAAAAAAAGGTATAAAAGAAGAAGACAATGAAAATACACAACCGGTGGTCGATTCTGAGAAGGAGATGATAGTGCCGTCTCCTGTTAAGGTAAAGAAAATGGAGTTAAATTCAGAAGTGACTGAAGGCGAGGGAAGTGAAACTTACGACCCATCGGATGAGCACTATCATCCAACTAATGATGCTTACTGGAAAGCACAACGCATGTAAGTTTGAATTCTACAAATAAAATTCATAATATATGGAACAGAGCGAGGTACATTAATATAGAGTTTATTTAATATACGTCTATTTTCAACTAAATAATTTGTATCTCTATTTTTAGTACACCTTACTTGGCCTTGGCCCGAACGTTTCAAGTTATTGAGGAGACAAAGGGTCGACTGAAAATGATTGATATATTGAGTAATTTCTTTTGCTCTGTAATGCTGGTTAGTCCAGAGGATTTGGTGCCGTGCGTTTACCTAAGCATCAATCAGTTAGCGCCCGCGTATGAGGGACTCGAGCTGGGCGTCGCAGAAACGACGCTTATGAAAGCAATTTGCAAGGCAACCGGCCGAAATTTGGCACATATAAAGTCACAAACACATTTAACTGGTGATCTGGGCATTGTTGCTGAGCAATCGCGCGTATCGCAGCGCATGATGTTTCGTCCGAAACCGTTGAATGTGCGCGGCGTATTCGCCAAACTGAAGGAGATCGCGAACATTTCAGGACAGGCGAAAATTACACTGGTTTACGATGTTTTCGTTGCCTGTCGCCATGCTGAGGCACGCTTCTTTATACGTTCGTTAATTGGCAAATTACGCATTGGCATTGCAGAGCAGAGCCTGCTAACAGCTCTGGCAATAGCTCTTGTCAAGCGGAATCACATAAACGATTGCAAAAGCCATAAAGTTTGTGATATTTACAAAGATGAAATAGTGGATGCAACTTTGATACTTAAAACAACATTTAGGTAAGAGTTTTAAAACTATTTCTAAGACCTATTTTTTCAACTTTTGTAATATGTTGCTCGATATCAATTGAAATATTAGGAAATTGACCGACAAGCTTAAATAACTTTTTACTTACTTTTGCAGCCAATGTCCGAACTATGATATTGTTATACCAGCATTATTGAAATATGATATTAAGGAGCTGCAAGATCGTTGCCCGATGCATCCCGGTATGCCGCTCAGGCCTATGCTCGCGCAGCCAACAAAAGGTGTTTCGGAAGTGCTGGAACGCTTTAGTGGAATGCAAATAACTTGTGAATGGAAATACGACGGCGAACGAGCCCAAATCCATTTGAACAAAGATGGAGAAATAAGTATTTTCTCGCGTAATTCTGAGAACAATACGCCAAAGTATCCAGATCTTATTGCTAGAAGCAAATCGTTTCTGAAAACCAATGTTGAGACGTATATACTGGATAGTGAGATTGTCGCCTGGGACATCGAACGCAAGCAAATTCTTCCATTTCAAATTCTTACGACACGCAAGAGGAAAAATGTTGACATCGCTGACATTAAAGTCCAAGTGTGCGTTTACATTTTTGATCTACTGTATTTCAATGGAGTTTCGCTTGTGACGAAGCCACTGTCCGAGCGTCGCAAAATTCTGATGGAACACTTTCAAGAAATCGAAGGCGAATGGAAATTCGCCACAGCCCTGGACACAAATGACATGGACGAAGTGCAGCAATTCCTAGAAGAGTCCATTAAAGGCAACTGCGAGGGTCTCATGGTTAAAACATTGGATGAAGAGGCAACTTATGAAATCGCGAAACGTTCAAGAAATTGGCTTAAATTGAAAAAGGATTACTTATCAAATGTTGGCGATTCACTGGATCTGGTGGTTATCGGTGGATATAAGGGCAAAGGACGACGCACGGGCATCTACGGTGGCTTTTTGCTGGCTTGCTACGATACAGAGAATGAAGAGTATCAGAGCATTTGCAAGATTGGAACAGGTATTTGAAAATTTAAGCTAATTTAATGCCTACATTTAATTACTTGTTAATTTATTAATACTTTTCAGGCTTTACCGATGACGATTTGCGACAACATTCAGAGTTCTTCAGCGCGCATGTAACTGGCAGTGCCAAATCATATTACAGATATGATCCTAGCTTAGAGCCGGATGCTTGGTTTGAGCCTGTTCAAGTTTGGGAAGTTAAGTGCGCTGACTTATCCCTTAGTCCGATCCATAGAGCTGCCATAGGAGCTGTTGATGCTGAACGCGGCATTTCATTACGGTTTCCTCGCTTCATTCGGATTCGGGATGATAAGAGCCCGGAAAATGCTACCGATGCGAATCAAGTGTCTCTCATGTACAACTCTCAGGATCAAGTTAAAAACAATCAAAAGTCCAGCAATCAAATGGACATTGAGAGTGATTTTTATTAATAAATGCGTAAAAGTATTTTGCAAAACTAGAAATAACAAATTCCATTTGTTATCATTTCACTGTAGAGTGTGCACTTGCGCTACTTTCAGATGATTTGGATTCACGGCGCGCTTCCTCAAAGTTGTCTTTGTTGTCTTGCGGCTTATGCTTGTTACGTCTACCAAATCTTTTATTCTTCGGTGTTTCTTCTGACACCGAAATGTCGCCTTCACTTGGAAATATGGGCGATTCTTTACAGCTTGGCGAATTATCTTCAGAGCCCACACCTACTCGAACCTTCGGTTGATATATGGCAATTGATGGACGATCCTATAAGACATTTATTTAACAATTTAATCCCATTTATTATTTATATAAATAACAAACCTTATTTCTTATACGACGTTCGTCCGCGGCTCGCGAATTGTGTCGTTCTTTATATGTATCGGTTGGTTTGTTTTTTTGATTAGTTGATACATTGCCGTGTTCGGCTTTATCAACTTCTTTTGTGTTCGCACTAGTTTCAGCACGTTCATTGCTGGCTTCAGTTTTTGCTGTCGTGTCGCTGCACGCTTCGGCAACTAGATTCGCATCCGATGTAGATTTTTTCTTTAATATAACAATATCTTTGCTTGCTTTCTGATTTTCTCTGGATGTATTGGAATTTTTGTTTGTTTGCTTTTGATTCGTGTCTTTCTCAGTTTTCTTCTTATCGCGATTCTCGCGATCTCGCACTAATTTGCGCTGTTCGTGTTCTTCGCGCCGTCGCTGATCGCGTTCAGTGCGTCGCTTAGAGCGAGCGTTCTTCACAGTTTCCTCTGAGCCTTGACCTTCCTTGTTAAATCCCTTTTTCGAATTGTTATTACCCGGCTTTTTATTATTTTCATTTCCTGGTTCTTTAGCTTTTACATTTTCTGGCTGTTCTGTAGATTTTAAAAGCTTTTGTTCTTCACGCTGCTTGCGCTTTTCTTCGTTTCGCTTTCGGAGCTCCTCGCGACGCTTTTCCTTTTTATTTGCCAAATATTGAAGCAAAGGCGTTGACTTCACCTTCTCGTCGCTTCTGCTGTCAAAATTGAAATCAATTTTTACATCACCCGAACGGTTTGCCTCTTCGCGTTCTTCGGCCAGTTTCTGTAGGAATTCCTGAAAGTGTGATTCCTTTTCAATAGTATTCACCTTGTTGTCGTGGCTTCGTGCTTTGTTTTTCAAAAACCACTGGAACGGCGCGTATTCGACTATAGCAACGTATTCGGCTCCCTTTGAATCGACAAAAACATATCCATCGAACCGATCGCGAAATTGTATAACTTCACCAATATCTTTGGGCGACATATCTATGTATGCGCGACATGTTGCTTCTTGTCCGAGCGACCAGTCTGCAGGGCAATAATAGTAGTATTCGTTTTCAGGCAATGGATCCACTTGTTCCAAAAATTCCTTCTCAGTCATTGTCGGAGGCAAATGCCGCACCACAATCTAGGGTTATTATTAATAAAAGATTTACTTATGTTCATATAAATAAATTACTGGCATTTACTTTGATTGATTGGCTTGACTTATCCTTTTTATCCCTCCGTTTATTAACTCGCTGTTTTTCCATTTTTTTTAAATATTTTATTGTTTATTATTATACTATTTAGACAATCATACGCTTTAGAGACTGAAGTAAAATTACTCATAATCGAATATGAGTCTCGATTTTTTTGACATATGTTAACAAGGTAGCGTCGTATAGAATTGGAACAGTGATATGTGAGACACGAGGCAATAGCAATGTTTATTATGAAGAAAATAACTTAAAAGATTTTACAATACAACCTCTTATATTATCACATCCAAAAACAGTAATTTAAACAATGGAAAAATGTCTTAAGTATAAACACAATAAATAAGTAAATGACACGGCAAAGGGAAATCTAACTGTTAAAAAGCTTGGCTGACCAGAACACAATATTTATTTGTATTAACTCATACAGTCAGGTTTAAGCTCTGCTGAAATGTTTGATTATTCACGATGCATTTGTTATATAGCTGTAACCCAGCTTAGCACATTAGCCATAAAAGCTTATAAGCGCTTTACTTTGTCTTCGACAATAATTTGTAATAAAATTATTTATACAGATATTTATTTATATATGACTAAGCACGTAAATGTATTGCGGTTGTAGGTCGATATTACTGCATCGGAGGAGTTAGGAAAGTCAAGATAGAGACGGAAAATAATGATGATGGTGACGCCAGATCGTATGGTAGCCAAGCCAAGCATTTGCTAAGTCCATAGTTATTAGCTTGCAGGGATTTTACAAGTAGTTCAAAAAAAGTTACTAAAATGTAGAAAAAACAAAAAAAAATATATATATATATATATATATATATATATATATATATATATATATATATATATATATATATATATATATACAATGGCGTAGGCATTAATTTATACAAATACATTTAAATTTGAGCTTGCTAGCTTTTGTATATTAGTAGATCGTGTCGTATACACGGATGGTCAGGAGGACCTTGATTCGAATCAAGGTTAAATATGCTCTAAGCTTACTTTTCCTATTGCACCCAATCTTTAAGTCATTTTACCGCTAGCACTCTTATACATTTCCAAATAAAAATTTTATACCTAGGAGCGGATGGAATATATAAACTAATATATATATATATATAAACTAAGTAAGATTTTGTAATATGTAATATACTCTCCATATGCATATTAATATGCGTTTGCTTTTCGTACAGTGTATGGTGTAATTGGAAATATTCCCACCCCCAAAAGCATTGTGAGATTTTAAGCACCGCCCCCAAATGCGGTGGATGACATCTTCTCTCTCTTTCGTTTTATGAATCGAATGCATCCTTTTTCGTCCAAAGGATGGATGGATAAGACAATCGTAACAGTAATTTTTTATTTAAGCACAGTTAAAATGTTGTAGTTCCTGTGCGGTTTCGAAATGATTTATTTTATAACAATGTGATTGCTGGCGAGAATTTATTATATAATTAGTGTCGCGTTTTCTAGCTTGTGAAAACCACCGATTCAATGCAATGGAATTTTCATTTTTGAACAAAACAAGCTATGATAAAGATTGTATATATAATTCAAATACCCAATTGCACAATTCGAATACAAGTGCCGGAATTTCGGTGGCTAATCATATGAGTCATTATAATCTGATAATTGACTCCAGCTATAAGTTAAGGGCCAACGAGAACGTTATAAGAAACACTTTGAATCAAGATACAAATATATTTTTTTCGAAAATAACGAATGTGGCTGAGTTTTATCCCGGAACACATAATATTACGTCCTATAATTCCGGTAAGTTACACTTATTTTTACTAATCGTAAGCAGAGAATTACGAGTGAAGCTTAAGAATTTCGATCCTCAAGTGTGCGAATAATGCTAAGCAAGAAATCGCCACTACCATATAAACCCTTTCTCATTCTACCATTAAAGATAATCAAGCTACTTTTACCTAGGCAAGTAGACATATGCATATTATATGGGGGCCCTTTGAATTTTTTCTATGAAAGCTTAATTCTGGATGCAGCATAAAACACATACGACCATTATCGTGTCTGCCTGACTACAAAATACCCTTAATCCTGCCCGAAACTTAGTTCTGCTTTTTCGACTATTTTTCTTCTTTAAAGAATTCCATACTTAAGGAATTGGCATACTGTTAGGCTTTATATGTTTGTACTTGAAAAATTAAAAGCTTACAATCCTTTAGACGAGTCTATATAACCGTTAATACCCTTTTGCCACATTTAGAACTGTTGAGTGTGCTTGGCTACTCTTAACTATCAAGCATTCGTTGCGATTTTTGGTGGTTGGTATGCAGCATCAGGACTTCGACGGCTTGCTACGTCTTGGCTTCTTAGTAGGCGATACGATAATCGGTTGCTTTCCAGCTTAACGCTAACTTCTCGTGTCAAGCAATACTTAACTTTACTATCTATATCAAAGGGCTATCAACAATTTGTGTAGCATACGATTCTATTTTATTCGCAAGACCTTAAATTGAGTAATGAAGAAGGTCGGAGACTGTGTAAGATTTCCTATTCTAAAGGAAGTTTGGCCAATTGAATATAGGCTGCAAATGAAATAAACATGCATCTCTATAATCAATATATATACATTAGCTATCTATATTTAATAAGTATCAGAAACTTCATTCGTTTTATCAATGTCCACACGCCTTCAGATTTCTACTTAAGGCCAAAATCTTAAAGCAATTAAACAGCGAAAGCATTTCTTTATTTCATTTAGGCTATCAGCTCAAATATACAGACGAATGTTCAAGTTTAAATGACAAGTCAAAACAGAGACGAATACGCACAACCTTTACATCAAATCAGCTAAATGAACTTGAGAAGATATTTTTGGAAACGCACTACCCAGATATATACACAAGAGAGGAAATCGCGTCAAAGCTACATTTAACGGAGGCGCGCGTGCAGGTAAATTTAACGCAAACTTCAAATAGGCATACTTTAATATATGTATAACATCAAATATTTCGCAATTAATACACAATTTGGGTGAGATCCGTATGAAATTTATAGCTTGTGAGAAGAATTTTAAAGGAATGTACATGAGGGAGAGGGGCAAACTGAAGTTAAAGTTCAGATAATTGTGTGTCGAAAGCATAATAAAAAGGTGAAAGGATAGATGAAGAGAAAGTTCCTTGATATGCGCTAGATCTTGGTGTGCTGGAGAACAGGCCTTGGCTGGTGCTTGGGTCTAAGCCTGGGTCTGCCTATGCAGATTGCTTTCGATTTTGATGGATGGGATAATGCACCGGACCTTTTGTGAATATAAAATGTATTTGCTTATTTCTTATTCCTCAAATACATATATTCCTGAACTGAATTGGATTATGACATATCCACCCGCATGTCCAACACTTGCTCCGTCTGTAAGTCAGATCGCAGACTATAAAATTTGTACTGGTAACCGGTAAGCGGAAGAGGAAGCGATTCAATCTGTCGAGAATATTTACATATAGATATATATATATATATATTAATCGATAATATGTGATCGATATACCAAATAAAAATAAAGTCAATATATTTAAAAGCTTTCTTCATTAACAGAAATAGAAATATGAAGTCTTTGGTAAATGAAAACTAATATTGATTCGTCTGCAATATCTTTCTAGGTTTGGTTCCAGAATCGTAGAGCCAAGTTCCGCAAGCAGGAAAGACATGCTGTTTATATTATGAAAGATAAATGCAGCAAAATAGAAGGCCGACACGATGCGGTATCTGGGACCCAATGTTATGATCTCTCTATTCCCGAAACACAAAATTTATGCCAAAAAAAATGTTTTTATGATCAAATATAGAACATAAAGTTTATACAAAATCTAACAGCAAAGCGTGTCTATCGCTTGATTAAGCGATCATTATTGAGGTTACTCGCACTAAGTTTTGATGTAGAATCAGCAAAACTTACCAGGTTGCTGACTTCCCCTCAATAGAAAATATATCTTCTATATCTTAACTACGACCAGCTTAAAACAAAATTATTTGCAACAGTAAAAACAACAAATTTTTATTTTAAACTAAAATTTTCAGGTAATCAAATAGGAAATACACCAGAAAACTTAGCGTTAATATCCGAAAGTCTGTGCCAGCTATACAAGATCCAGATGTTATGATGGTGGTCAGATTCTGGGAATAACCATCAAAGGTCACAACACATTTGTGGGCGTCCATATCGTCGTCGTCGTCGTAGATGGCCGCGATGGTCGTTGCATTGAAATATCCGTCCTCATTTTGCTGTGGATCATTGGCAACCACCTTGACAATATCATCGTCTTCCGAACTAAAATAGTTTGATATATGATTAGCACTATATTTGGGAAATATAATCTCTTTCGGGCTAGTACTCACGTAATAATTATTGTGGGTCTCGGGAAGACATTGGTCACCGTGCACTCCAATTGAGTTTCATTTTGTATCTTATAGCGATACATGTTCAGCGTATAGTTGCGCACATCTATCACCTGTACGGTCTGGTGTTTGGTAATCGTCTCGGACCTCGTTTGTACCACACACTTGTAGTCTCCAGTGGAGCTGATTGAAGGATTGATTAGAGCCAGCGCACTATATTGCTTATTTGGATCCGTTGAGCTCTCATACGAGCTGTCCACATCATTCTTAAATTCAGGCTGGAATCAAGTTGTATATAAAAGATATAGATTAGTATTGAAGCATGATGAGTATTGAGTATTGAGTACTTACAATGGGCGCCGGATGTGATCCGCGTATCCACTGGTAAATGGTTTTTTCATTTCTGAACCACTTTACTGTTAGAAATGATGCTGAATCATTCACATTATAATCACATTCCAATATAGTTGGCTCCATATCATCGTTCTCCAGAACCAGAAACTTTGTTTCCCCATCGATTTTGACTGGCAGACATAGTATGCCTGAAAAAGGGAAACAAGCTCAAATCATGAGGAAAAAGTTTTTAAGAGATTTCTTATGAATTTTAAATTATTTTAAGTTTTGCCTTGATAATTTAGATAGATAAAACCTGTTTTAATATGACTGAGTTTAATAATATCTAACACCCTATTCAGCAGAGAAAGAGAGAGAGAGATAGAGAGGGGCAGAGGGAGGGGCAGAGAGAGAGAGGCAGAGAGAGGGGCAGAGAAAGAGAGAGAGAGAGGCATAGAAATTTCGGAATGTTAAGGAAAGCAAATCTTAACATTCCGAAATTTCTATGAATATTCCCATTTTTCGCTGATATATTTGTTGTTGTTCATAAATCAGCTTAACTTTTGGTGAATTGACATCTTCTGTGACATTTAAAATTATGTTGATGTTAATGTTTTTTTTTTGCAAAATTTAATTGAACCAGTCGCGATTTATGCTCCGAGTCTTACGTAAAATTCCAAAAATAATTCATGTTGACATTTTCAATATATATTCCAAACACTTGGCCATGATTTTATATAGACTTTTATGTCTGCTAATTACACAGGCCAACATAATTCAGTTAACTAGAAGTTGATAACAAGCTTAATGCAGGAATAACTGAGCTACAAATAAATTTTAATTAATTAATTAATTAATTAAATTAATTATTTAAAAAAAATTTATATATACGAATAAGTTTAGTCTGATAATTTCTTAGTTTTATTTTCAACACAAGTTTGTTGGCCTGTGTTATTGACTAAATTATTATTATATAAATTTGTTTACATTCACATCAAAAGCCATTTTAAGGTCACGCCATTCTCATTCTACGAAATTAAAGAAATCTAAGTCTTTTTCCTAGAGAAGCTTATGAGTAACATTTTGCCCTGCGTGGACACTGACAAGTCAAATAAATCTTACAAATCTATAGTTTCTATATATTATAAAAAGCAATCCTCTTCCTTCCAATTAAGGAACGAGTTTTTCTCATCTAAAAAAAAAACATCTAAAAGCGATATATTCCAGGCTGAGTTTTTTTAAGGTTTTAAACAAAGCTTAATCTTACTTTGTTTATTTGAATTTATTTTGCAACTAACGAAGTGTATTACTAGCACTTTCCAAATAAGTTTTCCATAGTCAAACATCAAGCTCTGCGTATCTGAGTCTAAAGTCGTTCGAGCGCGCAGAAAGTGTCTAAATTAGCAACTTTCGCCCAACCGTTTTCCGCCTGGTCTATACTACGCCATCTTAGAAACATGTGTTTATTTTTGTTGAATCGAATAATTTAAACTTTGTGGGCATCCATATACCATTTACCACCCATGGACTCATATAGCCGAAAATCAAATTAGAGCTTTCAAAAGAAATTTTAAAATTTCATTCTACGTTTTAGTATATAAACAAAAAAGTTTATATTCAGAAGTTTTTAAGACTTTTCACATTTGGGCACATAATCCATGGCATATATTAATCCTAAGGTCGCAGATTTTTGAAAGTTTTCAAATTCTTGATCACTTTTATTTTATTACTATTTTATTTATTTTTATTATTTTTTTTTATTTTCTTTATTTTAATTATATTTTTTATTTTCTATTATTTATTATTTTATTTTATTTATTGTTTATTTATTAAATATTTATTATTATTATTTTTTTTATTTTTAGATTTTGTGTTTATTTTTCTATATTTTTAAGTGTAGAGCACAGTCGAAAAAGTTAAAAAAATTCTCAAGTATTTTTGAGTTTTCAGAAACTTTTAGTATTGTTTAAAAAACTGCACGATTCAGTGCACACGCGTCATATACACACATTAAAACTGCACCGAGATCCTGTTACTATAACGATCTTATATATTATATATACACACATGCAAACGCGCGTATTAAAGATATATGTGCGAATTATATGGGCAAATATATATGCAATAATTTTTTGTATACGAAGAGATGATTTCATTTCTTAATTTATAAATAGTTTCAAGTGCTCCACGTTTATGCGAGCAGAGCAGAGCGAGGAGCACACCTGACGTGAACCGTTACCTTTCAAAATCGTCGACGTAACAATAACAAAGGCTAGCAAAAATTGCATTTTTAGAGTTGTAACACAGCAGAAAGAGTATTAGATATATTTTATATTTATGTATATATATATCTTGTCTATATATATGTTTATTTCACTATTTTAAATACTGCAGCTGAACCGTACGCTGAGCATGGTCAAATACAATTGTCTGATATATCACAACTGAACGTTTGTCGAGCGTGGCATACGCATAGGCAACATTCAACTGTATATACGCACACATGCATATGCATATGCGTATACATATACGCGGTGGCCTATGTGTGTGTGTAGCGCGAAACCGTCAACAGCTCGCAGCAGAGAGTCGAAAAGAAAAACAACCCACCCAGCGGACCAACAACGAATGGTTTCTATCTGTTCCGGCTTTTGCCTCTTTTTGATCGTGTGTTATACTATAGCACACTTGTGCATGGGCACGTGTGTGTATGTGTGAGCATATGTGTTTGGGAGAACGTCTGCTCATTATTAACATGTGTGTGTGTGTCTAAAAGTGCTGCAGCCCGTGCCACTTGTATGCTTGCTGCTATGTATGTATGTATGTATCTGCAGCTGGCATATGTGAGTGAGTGAGTGAGGGGTGGAAAGCCTTTCTGCTCCGTTGCTTTTTGGCCTAAGTTAACTACCTTTTAACAGTCAGTTTTGCTGTTTGGTATCTCCTTTGTATTAACATGCAACTAGAACTCTATTTGTATGTAAGTATGCATGCTTGCTTGTTCAAACAAAGTGCAATCTAAAATGCATTTTAGCATATATTTATATTAGATTACATACGTACATACATACAGATTCATACATACATACACATATGAAAGTAAGAAAATGCAAAAACGTCTGCCAAAACTGAATCTGCCTTTGACATACTTTTTCTTTTGTATGTTTTTATGCTATGTTTACAAATTAACATATATATGTTCATATATACAGTAAATATATATTCAGAATATCATAATGCAATTTTGATCTACAGTAATTAAGTTAACTGTGCCAAACAAAAAGTATGTAAAGAAAAGGTAAGTAAGTTATCAATTAATTTAACTATATTTATATATATTATATTTATGTATATATATTTGTAACCTACGTATAAATATTTAAACTTTTAGTACAGACTGCACCAAGCTATGGCTATAATATAAGTGGAGCATTGTCCTGCTGCAGAACTGAAAGACTGCACGATCAATTAACCACCAAAACAGTCCAAATTTGTTCATTTAAATTATTCAAATATTTACCCTTTGCCAGGTCCTTATCAACAGAAACAAAGCCTACCAAGCTATCGTAAGCAGCCCTCCCCCAACACAATTCAAAACCCTTTCAAATACACGTAATTTCTGAAATTCTTTTACAATGCTTCAGTCATGATACCCACTAAACACTTAAAATTTAAATTTAAATTGGCGCCATTGGATAACCATAACAGCTGTGCCATAGTTTTGAATTCATCGATTAGCTTCTTTTAGGAAACATCGATAACAAACATCGGCACGCAACACTGCGATGATGTGACATCTCTATGTTCAACATACTTGTTATGTAGCACATAGGGGACCCGGTTCATTCGCTAAAGGTAATTCATAAATAAAAAGTGATTATTTACCCACTCTTTTATATTAAAAATAACTAACTCTGTTTGTTATCTTTAACTTAAACTTAAAGGTAATATTTGTATGTAATTGCAAGCACTAATCTGGCCACAGCGACGTTCTCACGTGTTCAGGAATTTGGTACCTAATAGAGCAACAATGCTTAAATCAACCATAAATTGTGTTAATGCGCACAGAAGATGCTTATCATACTTCTCAAATGCATTCAACAACTTGGCAAACCAAGGTGTACAAAGTGCCACAAGCCAAAGAGTCGATAATTTCGATTTGGATGTTTTTGTTAACCAAGATCATAAGCAAATGGACTTAGTGGATAAACTTGAGAAGCTGAGGTAATTTAATTGAAGAAGAAGAACGTGGCTAACTATTAACAGTTTCTTTTTAGAAAACAAAAACATTCTACAACTGTGCCGCTTCTACCGAGTATATTGGTTAAGCAACTACTGGACTTGTCTGGCCCAAAAGATGCAGTTAATGTTCTACGAAACCCACTGCAATACGGCGTATTTATTGATCAGTTTACTGGATGTCATTTAATAGATCTGCTGCTTCATAATGGCAACGTTAATGAAGCTGCGCAAGTTTCAACTTTACTTGTGGAGCGCGACTTATGCAACAATGAGTTGATTTCTGCCCTCGCACTTAAATCGTTTTATGCATTTCTGAAAACTTACAAACCAAATCCAGCACCAGCAAAGGTTGAGCAGCCGGAAGTGGTATGAATTTGTATATATATTTATAATTAAATAGAATAATTAATCAATTTTATGTTGCTTCTAGCAAAAAGTTCGTGTTAAATTTCTGCGCAACATCCCTGAAACGGTTGAGAAATCGGAAGAGAAAGTTCTCGGTGAAACTCTAATCAAATTAGGCTTAAGTCCGAGCGTGGAGAAGGATTTAAGCAAAAATATAACACTGCTTGGCTTAATAATGTCTGATAGCTACGCTGAGGCAGAAGAGTTCATAGCTCAAAACGAACAAAGTCTATATAAGGACGTTGTGCAGCTGGGCCTGAAACTAATTGAGAGTTTAGAAGGAAAAAGCAATCCGGAATTCAAAAATCTGCTAGATAAAGCCATAGCGAAGTGTGCAAAGGCGGAGTCATTCGAGGAGATCTTGGATAAACGCGTTAAGCTAAATGCCACAAACTTTGAGCCACAATTGATATCGGAGTACAACAAAAGCTTTCAGGCGTGGCAAACGAACTTCCAACGCGCCGTTGACGATCAACTGAAAGTTATCGAGACGAATTCCCGCATTGAGAATATTGAGAGTACGTTGAAGGCAATGGAAACGAGGCGACAAAATCTTTGGTTCTTTGAAAACAAAGAAGATATCGACATACAAATCTTCAAGAAAAAAGTATTCTATCCCAAGCGTTGGTTCGGCAAGAAGAAGAAGCCCAAGGCGGTCGACGCGTTCTATGTGCCGCCAACCATAACACGAGGACATTGATTTAATTGGATGTGTTAAAAAAGCGAAAAAGGAGAGTCCAGTTTTTTCGATTTAATTAAAGTACTGGAAAAATTAAACAAAGTTTAAATGTTGTTTCTTTTGGTTTTGGTTTTGCTTTTGCTTTTTGTTTTTGTTTTTGTCGAACGGTAAAATTTTTAAAATTACCATAACGTAACATTGAGGGTCACAGTTATATTCATTCCATCTCAGGTTACAACATTTTTATAACTTTTTTGAGTTTTCATAAATTGTAGTTATTAAAAGCTAATCGTCTGTCATTTGTGCATGGCCGGAGGCAGAGCTGTTTTTAAAACCCGCTGCCCTGGGGCCGATGGCGACAAATTGATGGGCGATGGTAGATCATGCCGCTTGTCCTGTATGGTCAAAGGTAAGAACTGCTGCTGCTTCTTTTTCCGATTCATATTCATGGGATGAGTGTTGTCGTTCTTGCCAAACAATATGGTCAGATGCACGGCGCAAAAGATGCCCAAACTCTGTAAGTGCGAACTGATTAAAAACCTTCATCTTATCAAATGACATTTTTAGCTCCAACCTGAAGTATGGCTATAATTGCAGCTCCAAATGCGGTTATCAGCAGACGACTCTTGATTTGCTCCGAGACAACGGCCAGGCAGCCGCGCTTATAGTGAGTATCACATGCCGATTCGTATGCGTGTTCAGGACGGGAGCAGCAGGACCATGGTAGGGACAGACGTCGATAGTCAAGCGGTCCATCGACACCGCAACATTGCAACTGAAAGCAGAGAGCAAAGACAAACTCCTCTATTGAAACTGTGATAATGGCTATGAGTGTTAAGAGGTCTTTCGACTAAGGATATTAATTATTGTTGTCAATGATAAGTTTATTTAGCCCAGTAGAGCAGCTTAAGGCTAGGCTTACCTGAGATTGCATGCGATTCCACAAATGTAAGTTGTCAACTTTAGTCCGTGAAAACTTGTCTAAAAACTCTACAAAGGAATCATCTATGAATATCTCTACAGAAGTCGGAAGATTCTCACGCATTGCCAAGGACCAACCACAGATTATGAATTGAACACATATACAAGCCACTAAAAGAGCTGCAAACTACAAAAATTCATTAGCAATTCCACCAGCTTTACATATATACATCAGCAATCATCAATATATATAGATATATAGATCGAAACTCGATTTACCATGCCGAGCAGACAACGTTTCCTTTGGTTGGTTGCCTGACAGCCCATCCAGCAGAGGATGAATGTAACTGGCCCGAGGCATAGGAGTATTGCGGCTGGTGCCCACAGTTTGTTCTGTACAATGCCATAATAGACCGAGTGTCCCCATAGTAGAGATGTTCCCAAAAATATTTGAGCTGCTCCGGTTAGCTGCAGCAAGCCATATGAAAAGAAGAGTTATTTTGTGAATAAATTTTCTATTTGCAAATTAATTTCAATTTTATTATTATTATATATTATAATATAAACAACTAAGAGTACTCTAGTTGGGAATACCCGTAACACAACGCTGAGCTGCTACGCTCATCTTTCTAGGCTGCTTTTATACAGACGGACTGACAATTAGACATGCATCGACTCAGCTCGTTGTGCTGATCAGGTATATATATACATTAGGGTGTTTGCCACGCCTTCTCTATCTGTTACATACATAAAAAAGTAAGAAGAAATAAATAATAAAACTAAAATGTTTTTCTGAAAACCCAACTTAAATAAAAAAAGCAGAAGAAATAAGTACTTAATAAAATTTTTAATGGAAACGTATATAAAGCTCTTTAATTTAGCTGTAGCATTAAGGACTCCCATGGCAGTCGTTAAGAGCCAGCATCCTTCATAGCTTCCAATTTGCGTTTGCATTTGAAATTATCGAGCAAATGTCACAGGGGAATTACTTCGATGACCTCGTCAACGAAAAGCCCAATTATAAATGTGCCAAAAATGTATGCAAATTTATTTATGAAACAACAAGTTTCATGTTTAAAGCATTCACTTATGTTCTGCTTATATTTCGTTTGCCAAACTTTCATGTCATTTACGTTGGCAGCTAAATACATAAGCCAGAAAGTTGGATACATACAGAGGCACATGTATATGTATATGTATATATGTACTACATACATATATGTTGCAGACAAATGTAAATTAGCTCAAGGTCATCTGCAATTGCACAGAATTGTTACAAGTATATAAGAACGCACGCACGCACACACTCAGACATACATATATGTATGTGTACACGAGCATTCTTGGGAGTAAATAGAAACGCACACACACACACAGGCATACATACAAATATGTATATATACATCAGCACATAGAGAAATGCGTCAAACGCATTAGAGCATGTGCTTAAGTGTATATACATACATATATACATTTACAAGTAAAGTTAAGTACATGTTTATTTATAAAATTGCATTTATGCTTACAAATAATTATTCATAATTCATTCAAATGCTCGCAAAATCTGCTCGCAAAGTATGTTTACAAGTGTGGAGCAAAAAACTCATTGCATCACAAATGTACACACACATACACATACAAACATATGCATACACACATGCTGGAGCTAGAGCTGAAGTAACAAACGATGTTTTTGCTATGCTTATGTATGCGTGTGTATGTGCGTCCTAAATGTATATATACATATGTGTCAATCAATGTTTATATACATTTATAAATTTGTCGCTTACTTACCGCCAAGAGGAACACATAACTGTAAACTAAATACTTAAAACATTTGATCTTTTTTGGCAGTGCCATATTTCGCTATGCGCTGCTCTACTCTTTTGCCCTGCTTCTTCGACTTTTTGGATGCTTTTTAATAGTCTTTTCCTTTGATCCCTTCGCTTAGGCAATCACAAGTTGCAGATACATCTATATACATGTATATAAGGCAAATTTATGTCAATTATATGCATACATACACCTATGTATATATACATACGAAGCAGCTGCAACTCTATGTATATATACACGGAATTTGTTGCTAATGCAGCAGCCTTTTCTTATGCATATGAATTCACATAGATTTTTATGTATAAATTTTCGCATATATACTAAATGTATGCTAATTCGAAAGTTAATTTGATTGAATAATTGTTTTTCTTTTTGTTTTGTTTCACTGAGATATTGCCACTTTCATTGCTTTTAGTTTGTTTTCATAGTTATCTCAATGCAATTCACATGGCATTTCAACATTTTTGCTTAGCTATATTTTATCTTAGCCGAACTTCACGGTTGTAAATTTTAACTAAATATAACTGTTAAAGTTGACTGGGAGCAACCGAAATCTGTCCACAGCTCAAAAGCACGCAGTTTACCGTCTGACGCGTTGTTCCTTGTTTTGTTATACTTTTCCAGTTTAACAGTCAAAACATTATCTATAACCTTTTTCGCCTCTGTCGCTGGTAATCGTCGATGACAGCGCAGCTCCGATTAGCGCGCCAATCAGCGTGTTTGAAAATCCAATTGGATTATTATCAGGCATGGTTTTCCTTTAGTTTAATGAATAATATGTTAATAATAGTATAATTAACATGAAATGAAATAATTACTGAGCATTTCTAAACAGTTTTACTAATAAACCAAAATTTTATACAAATTCTTTTATTTAATTAAGTGTTTCAAAATAAAAATATATGAACATTTTATTGAATATTTTACTTTTCATATCAACTTTTTATTTGAAAAATCAATTAAAAGAAAAGTTGAATTTTAAAACAATGATTTTAACGCTTGTGGCATAACAATGTAAATGTTAATGTTAATTAACATTTATTTATACTCTTTATTAAATAGAGTTTGAGATGTTGGCCACGACTCTTTCTGTCTGTTAGAAACATTTAAAGAACATTTCATAAAGTATATTTGAAGAAAACTAAAAAATACAACATATATTTCTACATTCGTAAATACATACACGAACACACACTTATGCAGACGACTTCTATAAACGAACAAAACAGACCATACATGCATATTTGAGAATTTCGGAGAAGGGCGCCATGTGAAATGTACAGCACAGCGGCTTTGCTACTGGAAGAAAAAAAAAAACAAACATAAAAATAAAGAAAAAAAAGGACAAAAAAGAAAAAAAAACAAAAGACAAAAACACAAAACAAGAAGCCAAAAAAATAAGCACATAATAAAATACTAAAACAAAATAAACACAAAAAAAAAACCACCATGAAAACTGGCACACTTTACTTGGATTCTTGAGAATCGAGGAGGAGAGCATAATGAACATTTAAATGTTCAGCACAGCGGCTTTGCTACTGAAAAAAAAACCAAACAAAAAAAAAACAAAAAAAAACAAAAAAAAAACAAAAAAAAAACAAAAAAAAAAAAACAAAAAAAAAACAAAAAAAAACAAAAAAACAACAAACAAAAAAAAAAACAAATAATAAAATACTAAAATAAAAAAAAAAACAAAAATAAGACAATAAAAACAAAAAAAAAACAGAAAAACACAAATAAAAAAACAAGAAAAAACACAAAAAAAAAACAAAAAAAAAAACAAAAAAAAACAAAAAAAAAAAACAAAAAAAAAAACAGGAAAACCTTAAAAACCTGCACACCTTACTTGGATTCTTGAGAATCGAGGAGGAGAGCACCATGTAAAAATACGTTAATTTTTAAATGTGCTGCACAGCGGCTGAGCAACTAGGTTTGCTGTGCATATTTGCAGAGGATGTATGTATATACATCGGCTGATGCACTCACGCACACACACACATGCATACATCTGTATACACAATTACATACATACATACATGCGTATATATGTACACATACACATATTTATTCTAATTCTTACTTTTAAACATAAATAATATTAATCAATATAGTACTCCAAGTTTAAATGGCACATTGAATATAAATTAAATTAAAAGTCAAAAGTCTTTAAATTCCAATTTATTTTCAAATTATTGGCTGATTCCAATTGGTCTGGTTGGAAGAGAAGCGGTAACATGTTTAGATCCCTTATACTTACGCTTAGCCATCATTTCCAATAAGAAAGTTCTTTCATGAATCCATTGGGCATATATATATATTGGGTTCTTAGATGACTATGTATGCATATATATATATATATATATATATATATATATATATATATATATATATATATATATATATATATATATATATATATATATATAGTATATATAGTTGACTATGTATGCATATATATATATATATATATATATATATATATATATATATATATATATATATGCATACATAGTCAACTAAGAACCCAATAGCTAACATATATTCTAACAGGGATATCTTTTAATAATTTTAATCTTAAATAGTTGTAATTGGAGTGTGTAAACTTGTAATCCAATTAGCTTGTTACCATTTCCAATCGGCCGAAGTATTTATATGACAGCAGATTCGCTTATATTCTAATAAGCTGTTAGATTCACCTATCTAATTAGAAGAACAATGTAATTTTAATTCTGTTTAGCTGTTAACATTTTGCAGTTAAATTCAAAATTCAAAAGTTGAACTATTTTTCAATATTACGAATAGAAGAGAGTCAGAGAGAGAGAGAACTTAAAAAAGAAATGCTTTTGTTTTTTTATTACAATCTTGTAAATTTGTTCTGTACAACTTACACTTGCTTATTAACGAATTTCAAAAAGTTTCAAAACTACATATGCAATGTATGCAGAAGAGAGTGTATAAAAAATATGTTTTTTTTTCTGTTTTTGTTTATCAAATGTAAAATGTAAAATGTAAAATGTGAATCAAGTAGAAAATACAATACAAATTACAATACCTTTTGAATATATATAAAAAATATGCTTAGAAACTAAGTGTTCCACTTAAATGGACCAGCCGGCTTAAAGAGGGACCCCGTTTAGATATCAGACACAAACTATATACATATATATATATGTATATATATCTGCATTGCTATCTGATTTATACATAAGTAGCCAATGGGTGGCAATGGGTGGCTGCTCGCACCGCTGACTGTCTAGACGTGGTTCGTGGATTGCCGAAATGAAATGATTGAGTAAAGTGTAAATTGAATGTGTAAATAAAGTTATGCTTTAAATGTAAATGTACTTTTAACATATTATACAATAGCAGTGTGCTTGCTCTTGTTGTACTGTTACCGTAAGTTTATATATATATATAAAAATTCAGGTCTCTTTGCAATTACATATTCGATGGGCGTCGGTTAGATAGCCGATCGAACAGATCTTTTCTAGATTTATTCCCGAAGATTCTTAGTGAGCAGAAGGTTGTTGTGATGCCCGGACAGATGGCGGACCAGCTCCTGCACCGACTCAAAGCACATGGAGCAGAAACAGCAGCTGTAGCGATTTTCCGTATCCGTTCCGTTGGTTGTGGTTATGACATTTCGATGAACGGAACACAGGTGCTTCAGCAGGTGCGCCTTCTGCTTGAACATGGCCACGCAGAGGCGGCAGGCGAACGGCTTTTCGCCAGTGTGGACGCGGAGATGTGTCTTAAGGTTCCATGACATGCCGAACTGTTTGCCACAGTACTCGCAGCGATATTCGCGCACCGACGACGTGGTGTGCGTATTGTTCGCGGCAATGTTCGACACGGACGTGCTGCTATTGCGGTTCTCTGGATCAAGATTTAGGTTGATGTGCGACAAACTTGACAGTCGCGACTGCAAATTGGGCATCGTTGAGAGCGCAGCGTTCTGATTGGACTGCCATTGGTAGACGAACTGCTGTCCCAGATGCATATGCAGCTCGGGACTTTGCACTCGATTTCGTTGGGACTCAAACAGTTTCCTCTCCGGCGTCATTGTGTCCGCGTTAAGTGTGCCATCTTCCAGTTGAGATAATATGTTCTTCTCGGACGCCAGGCCCGATATCGGCGATGTTGTTGACTTAACGAGTCGAAGTTCCTCCAATAGATTGTGCTGATACGTTGTGAAGGGCTGATTGTCGCATTGCGTATTGTGAAAGCCCGGCCGACGCTTTCGATGCGGCGTCACAACATAATTCTCGGGCGAACTGTTTAGATCGGATCCATCGGCCAGCGGCTTCATGATATCCTTATGTGTGTCGAAGAACAGGCCTTTTCGCTTCGTACTTTCGTGTGCGCTGATCGTATCGATACTTTGCTTTAACATAAAATTTTTGCTATCAATGCGTTCCGAATTGTTGTCCCCTTTCGTCCGAAGATCGAGTGATAAGTTAACAGGATTTATTGTTGAGTTATTATTATTGTGGTTGTTGTTATTATTATTGGGGTTGGTGGTGGTGTTGCTGCTGCTGCTGCTGCTGGTGTTATTGGTATTGGCAAGTCCGCCCGCTGGAATGTCGGAAAAGTTTACAATTTCATCAGTGTCTTTATCGCTCTTAGTGTCCTTGTTGGTGCATTCATCCTCATCGTCCTCCTTGTTGTGCGCACACTCACTGGCAGCCTCACAATTGTCAGCCGAGAATGTGGAAAAATCGGTGGGATTTCTAGTCTCGTCCGCACTTTCAACTTCAAATTTGAACGATTGATCGACTGTCTGCGGGGACGGATACTGCTGTTGCTGTTGCTGCTGGTGCTGGTGTTGCAGATGGTGTTGCTGCTGCAGATGGTGTTGCTGCTGCTGTTTCCGTGGTCTCTCCCGTATGCTCCCGGCGCACTTAGTACTAAGATAGGCAGAATCTGTTGTCTTCCAGCTGTCCGACTTGATTTGCAGCAGCAGCAGCAAGTCGTGCAGATAGTTCACATCTCGCGACGTTATACACGTCTGACCCGAATACAGAAAGTCCAATAGAAACTTGAAATATGTAGCGTTGACATCAGGAAAATAAACTGTTGTCGTGCAATCGCTCAGGTGAGTATCCTCCAGCAAATTCCTATAAATTGCAATTAAAATTTCAGTTAATACGGAAGTTTTCACAGATTAGCTATCAATAAATACCTGATTAGCGGACTGGCAGCAGCGAGCACTAATTTGTGCGCATGTAACTTCACCTTGTTCTCGCAGACGATCGTCAAGTCGGCTGGATGCTCCCCCCTAAAAGCCGCTCCAATTTCTTTGAGGATGCACTCTCCATGCTTGCTGTATTGCAACATCAACATTCTTTGAAACTGTAAAGGAGCGATAAAGAAAAGAAAATTGATTTTCATTTTAAATATCATTAACAATACATCTTATTATATATCTGAATTTTATATGAAGCTAACCGACAGATCACTCAAGTAAACACTTAGTAGGGTATGCTTCACTATACATACCCTACACTAATCATAAAATTAAAAAGGTATTCGCTTAATCTATATGTACCTTCAAGCATCTATACTCCAAAGTGAACGTCTTTAACTCTTACAGACTGCGAGTAGTACTAATCGGTTGTTATGGACGTATATGATATTAATTGCTTCGCTCATTGGCCTATTCAAAAGCATATAATATATATACTAAATCTGCAACCTCGATTTAATTTGCCCAACTTTCAAGCTGTCTTCTACGCACACATACACAGAAACCCACTCCCACACACACAAAGTGAAAAGAAAGCATCTGTAAAGCCATAAGCTAAGTATATATGTATAAGCAATTATTTATATATGATATATAATTTTCTCAATTTATGAAATATCGAATCAAGATACGGCATCTATGATTCATACCCGGATCCTAGCTGCTCTTATTAACAACTTTTCTACCAAAGGAGTGCTGAGCCGAAGCTTGCTTTATATAGATGCATAAGAAAGCTTTTGAAAGCTTGACAATTAAGATTGGAAATTGTCTCGCTGTCAAGCCATTTTTTTCTTTTCTTTTTTCGTAGAAGGGCAACGAATTTTTTTAAAACAAACTAAATAGTTAAAGCCAAATGAGCAAACTCACTTTGTCATATATATATATATTGTGAGTGTGTTTGTGTGCGTATGTATGTATATTTAAATGTAGAAATAAAAGGCCATGTGTCATTGTTGTATTGTGCAAGAGCACGGCTTGTCTTGTCTGTCTCTGCATTTTAAAGCTTACATACATACACACATACATACGTAGGCGCACATATGCACACACACACGTGTGCGTGTGTGACTGTACAGGGCCATACATTGAAGCTAAAGTTCACAGATCTCTGAAAACTTTAGAAAGAGATAGTCTTGCTTTTGCCGCGAATGGAGAAGAAACGTTCACTTTCAATAAAACTTGACTGACTGGCTTTGCCCAAGCAACAAGAGAATGGTACGCTTTGCCGTATTATGTATTTTTTTGCTTTTTTTATGGCTTGGAGCACAAAAAAATTACCTGTGCTACCTTACTAAGCACTCTAATTATTATTTTTTTTTAATTAGATATATTAGAAATTGAGCCTATGGTTTATTCTATCTTTTTCAAACTCTTTGTTCAAATTAATAAAAAATAGATATTAATATATATATTATTAATAAATATATTAGCTAAGAGCTAAAGTTTAAAACATGGCAAAGTCGCATTTACTAAAAAATGAAAGTTTTAAATACTTTTTTTTAACACAAAAAGGTCGTTAAAAGTCGATTGAGCTAAAAAGATGAAATGAAATGTGAAAAAAATTTCTTTGAATTAATATAAAGAAACTTTGCTAAAGTTTACGTTTTATAAACTATTGATCATTCATTTAAATTATATTATTTTTAATTTCTTCTCTTTGCAAATCATTAATTTAATATTTACTCACCAAAAGAAAATAATAATAAATATATAAAGTTTATACTTGCATATATCAAAATATTAATCTTTTTAATATATAAATTATGTAAAACTCCTAATTTTAATAACTTTCACATTCCTTTTTTTAGTATATATATATATATATATATATATATATAAATTCTATTTTCAATTTGTTTTTTTATTATTACTTTTTTATGCTATTTTCATACATATATGCAAATAGTTTTACTATACCAGTTTTTCTGTTTATGTTTTTACTTAAGTATCAACATTAATGGCTACATATGTACATATGTATGTATGTCCATTCAATGTACACTCGTTTTAATAAAGAAAAAAATCATAAAGCTAAAGGCGAAAACTGAACACAACAACAACGACTACAGTGACAGTAGCAAAAACGCGCTTACAAGCGACGAACAACAACAAAATCACCTTTCACAAAAAGCTTTTCTCTCGATGGTTCAGTTCTCTCCATGAATGTGTGTGTGTACATAAATGAGAGTACGATTGTCTGTGTATATTCACTCATGTCTATTTGTATTTGTATTAGATAAAGGCATGTAAAAAGCTTTCGAATTACTCTAAATGAGTCTGAATAGATACATGTGCCTGTCTGTGTGTGTACACGAAAGCTAAACAAATACTTGTGAAAATATGCAGGCCTGTGTGTACAAAACACGATCACTCAGTTACGCTTGGCTTTTCGAATTTGTCGTCGTAGTTTCGATATTATACAGTTTTGCAATCCACTGTTCGTGTGTACACACATACATTCATACATATGAATGAATGTATAAATGAAAGTACATATTTTGTGCTTGTATTTGTACATACAGCACTTACTTATAAGAAAAGAAAGGATATTTATTAAATACAATATACGTATATACAATATTGTATAAAGCTATATGCATGCAAGTACATCATATTTATGAAGTGAGCGGACCTAATATGATCAAACTTGTTTTTTGCTGAAGTTTGTCACGGGCGAACCAATACTAACGTAATGCAAAGTTTCTGCTCATTTTCCCCTTTCACGAAAGCTCTTTTTGGTAAACCAGCCGAAATATACGACTCGCGCGCGCACACACACACACACTCACAAACGTTCGTCGCGTCGTAGTCGTTGAGCATGTTGTAAATGCCACATTCGTAAAAATGACCCAAATTTGAATTACATAATTATAGCAATGAACAAACTCTTCTTTCCTCATCAATCTCAGTAGAAAACATTTAATTGCTTCTACATGACTTTCTATATATATATTAAATGTATAGATGTAGATATAAATATATTATTTATTTAATAAACTATTTATTTATGTATGTATGTACAACTATATACTTTACATACTACAAACACACGCAGCTACATACATACATTCATATATATTTATTTGTACATACAAACGATGTTGACGAAGCTTATTAACATTTCTGCGCAACAATAAATGAAAGAGAAAGAGCGACGAGCGTAAGCGACGTGCACACAACACAGAAGTTGCTTACTCGAACACACATACACATACTAATGGAAATATGCTTGTATATAAATACATATATATACAGCTCTATACGTACACATACATACTTGCGCCAGTATGAAGACATTTATGTGTATGTATGTATGTATGTATGTGTATATACATTCATATAAGCACGCTATGAAGGTCACTAAGCCTTTCTTGTCTCTTTTGCTTGGGTGCGCGTTGCGTTGCGATCTTTTATTGCTGTATTTGTTTGTGCTGTCGCTGTTAATCGTGACGATCGGACGGTATACAGAAAACTGGGCTCTGCTGCACATTTACATACAAACATACATACATACATGAATACACATATATATGTAAATATGTTAAGTATGCATATGTATTTATATACAAGTGTATGTATGCATGTATGCGTGCAGTTTTGTATTGAAACTTTGTCTGCTTTTCCTTATAACAGTTTTGAATTTTGGCCTTGTAAGTGTTTTTATATATGCCTACATACATACATACATACATAAATATCTACGTCTGAATTTATATACTACCTTTTATATTTTAATTAATTTAAGTCATACTCTATTGCTCAATATTATGAATATTGTGAATGGTAATGAATGTAAATAGATCACATACACGTATATATTTTCACTTGCAGCTTTCAAAATTGTTGTATTTTGTGTTGTAAATAAATAATATATATAAGCACTGTCTTTTTAACTCACCTCTTTCATTAAGTCTGTAGCAATTACTCCCTTTCACAAATAGTTGGAAAATCTTCTGTAGACTTTCTGAATGTGCACACATACACTGGCATACATATGTAAATACAGTAGTATTTATGCATGTACGTATGTATATATTTATGTATTCATACACACTAATGCACATACATACATACAAGTGCGCCACTGAGTAGAGCTTTCCACTTTCACAGTCTAGTTAAAGATTGTGTATGCACATACATACATATGTATGTGTGTGTGTGTATATTCCTGAATGTGTATGTGCTGATGTGAATAACGCGTTCTATTCCTTTTGCATCCAAAGACAGAGTATACACTCACACATTTACAAACGTGTATTTATTAATTCTGTATATATGTATATTTAATTATTACTTTCAGTTTCAACATCTGCACACGTTCATATACATAGGGCAACTGTTTTTGTTTATCATATTTGTACGAGATTTGTAAACTCAATTTAATAATAGTTGTAGTGGTAGCAGTAGTAGTAGTAGTAGAGTAGATTTAATTTCTCTTTTGAGTGTTGGATCTTGTTTTTAAGCAACGCACGTACAGTTCACAGTTTCATTAGCTTTTGCTAATGCCACAAACAACAACACATGCACATACCGATGCCAGTCCACATGCATGTATGTTCCGCACACATACAAAAAGTTCACAACAACAATAACAATAACAGCAACAACAACAGTAACTTTTAACTAGGTTGAAGTTTTGTTATATGTAATACATTATTGCGAAATAAAAAACTTGATTGGTAAAACTTTTTTCCGACTTTGCGAGCGGAGAGATCGGGCTTTTGACTCTCTCAATCTCTCTCCTTCTCTCTTTCTCTCTCTCTCGTATAAAAGTAACAATGCTTTTCTCTTACAGCACGCGCACAAACGATAACACGTCCGACCTACCAAAGCACTATTTGTGCACTAAAACTACAACCAGCGACGGCTAACGACAACCGACAGCAGCGCAGCGCCGCACGGCCAGCGAGATCACACAGACTTCGTGTGGAAATGGTTTGGTCTTCGTCTTGTTCGGACTTGTTCTCGCAGCACTTCGGTTTATGATGTGTGTTATGCCTCTAGCCAAGTAGTAGCTGGATTATTATAACATTGTAACAATTTACATACCTATGTATGTAAGCACATACATCCATACATACACGTTGCTCCAATTGATGTTTGAATGACTTACATATACAAATGTATGTAACAATCACACTCATATTTATAGCGTGTACCCTAAAGTATACTCTTATTTCAAGGAAATTTTTAGAAATTTGTATGTATTGACATGATCAGATTTATACATATGTATATATGTATGCATGTAGATATGTATGTATATTAATCTGCATCAGTTTTTTATTAAGCATTTCTAACTGTAGATTTGTCCAGCTGTCTATTTAGATGAATAAACGTGATAATAATGTTACTAACATTATACACATATACATATATATATATATATTGTATTGTATACCTTTTCCTATTTATTAGTATGTACATACAGGATGTACGTATAACGGATGACGTATATATAACGGATATATACATATGTATAACAGATGTATAACTGATCAATTCAAATTTGACACTAAATAGGTTAGATGAAATTAAAAAGGTTTTTCAGGAAGACTTTTTCAGACACTTGCCTTATCTTAGTTCCTTCACAGATCTACTATATTCTAGTAACTAGAGAGCTAGACTTTTGTACATCTGAGGCATCATTAAATGGTTCACCATGGAAAGGATTTCTATTTACTATTTTCTATTTGTGTGCTCATGAGTTGTATGTTAGTATTCTTCTTTAATGGCTTGTTCATGCTCAATTTGCCATTTGCATACGCTGCGCAGCTCAAGGACACAGTTTTATCGCCTTGCTCCTTTTTTAAAGAAAAGGGTGCAAAGGCTGCAAGAGACAACGGAAGGCAGTTAACATTTAACAATTAACATTTAAGGATTTTAGTCTGTAAATATATATTTACAAATATATATATATATATATATATATATATATATATATATATATATATATATATATATATATTTATATATACCTAAATTTGTTAAAGAAAAAGTGTGTAGTATGTTATATAATTTAAAAATATATTAGTTTTAATATCTAAATCTTTTAGTTTTAATTTGAATTTTATAATATTTAGCATTTTATTATTATTATTTTAACCTTTTCTTAAATGTTTTTAGTTAAATTTTTGAAAGTTTTATTCGTTTTATTGTTTTTTCATTTCAATTAACCTTATTAGTATATTACACAAACATAGATATATTGCCCAATACATAATATAACGAGGCGGTCCAGTCATTTGCATGGCCTTGATCCTTACATCCTTTACGCATGCGCATGCGCATACGCCTACATATGCATAGCCTACGCTTTATTATACCCTTTCTTTCAAATAGCACAATTAAATGTGTCCTTGAACTGGACACACAGAGTATTAATTGTGCCCGCTTTCTATTTGAAATTTATTATTAAGGTTAATTTGAATAAGCGGAATAAGCAGGGTAAATAGGAAAAGAAGGAAAGGTTCTTAACTCTATAATTTTTTCTCTGTATATTCTTAAAAAATATATATATATTCTTCTTTTTCAACAGTATAAATAAATATTATATTGGACTCTTGAAAAAATTAGTAAAAATTGAGCATTTGTATGAATTAACAAAAGACTAAAAAAATAAACAAAATACTAAATCTCATATACCATTTCTGAGAGAGATCATTAACAAATAAATTAAGTTCATGAAAATCGCAATTACAAATAAACTTAATAAAAAACTGATTTTTTTAAAAATATAAATAAAGTAATATACAGAATACGATTTAAATCACTTTCATGTTTGAGATAATTAAAAAAGAGGAAGCTATAGAAAGGTCTAATAAGCAAATGCATATTAGGAAAAAAAGGCTCACAAATCATAAACTCTGAATTTAGCGGATAAGTAGCTAAAGCCGCCAGTACTTACATATGTTATGGCACTATCGATATTCTTTAATCGATAATTGTAATAAGCTAACAATAATCGTTTGGTCAGCCTGTTGCCATCTTGAGCACCAATGAACTTAAACTAAAACATCGATCATTTGTTAAAGACTTGTTAAGCAAAAAGAAATAACAATATAAAATGAATGTGCGAATTGTTCAAAACCGAAAAAACTTTATGAATTTAACAAACATTCTACGAACACGTAAGTTTATATGGTTTGAGTCTATAATTTCAAACTACGCAGGCGAACCAATTGATGACACTGAATCTGAGTGATCAAAGTCCAAATATAATTTTTTTTAGTTAAAGTACAGATGTATATCAATATGATGATGTATTTTCCAATTAGATAAGAGGCTGTGAAATCATGTTGAGTAGTCATTACGTGTATATAAATTATATATTTATACATTTGTTTATGCAAATACTAATAAAAGTAATTTACCTAATCTTCTTACATATATATTATTATCTTTTTGTACCTGTAGATGGATGCCGGCATTTGTCCGCCCAGGCTGCGGTTCAGCCCAAACGAAATGCCAACACTCAAAATATAGTGCTTGTTGATGGCGTGCGTACGCCATTTCTGACGTCTGGTACATCATACTCGAATTTAATGCCACATGAATTAGCCAGGCATTCCTTGCTGTAAGTCAAAAAGTTATAAAAAATAGTTAAGATTAATATTAATATGAATATTCATTCACACAGCTCACTATTGCAAAAGACTCGGCTGGACAAGGAACTTGTTGATTATATTGTCTATGGCAGCGTTATACAGGAGGTGAAAACTTCTAATATTGGCCGTGAGGCGGCGCTTTCGGCTGGCTTCAGCGATAAGACACCTGCACATACCGTTACAATGGCTTGCATAAGCTCGAATGCAGTAAGCAATTTTAATATTAAACTATTTCAAAATATATGTTTATTAAATATGAGCTCTTTCGTAGGCAATTACAACTGGCATGGGTCTTATTGCAACCAACACGTATGATGTGATTGTTGCTGGCGGCGTTGAATTTATGTCTGATGTGCCCATTCGGCACTCGCGCAAAATGCGTTCGCTTTTGTTGAAGGCGAATAGGGCTAAAACTTTGGGACAGCGGTTGTCATTACTCTCGACATTCAGACCCGGTTTCTTGGCGCCTGAAGTACGACAAGCGGTCAAATTAAATGTTTTGATATACTTAAAACTTTTCTCTTTTCAATGAATCACAGTTGCCGGCTGTTGCAGAGTTTTCGTCTGGCGAAACCATGGGTCACTCTGCAGATCGTCTGGCATCCGCATTTAATGTCACACGAAAAGAGCAGGATGACTATGCTTTGAGATCCCATCTTATGGCCAAGAAAGCCCAGGAAAGTGGATACTTTACGGATCTGGTGCCCTTCAAGGGTGAGTAAATATACTATTTAATGTTGCTTAGCTAATTATTTATAATTTTAGTGCAAGGCGTTGACCAAATCGTGGACAAGGACAACGGAATTCGCGTCTCTAGTCCTGAAAGTTTGGCTAAACTTAAACCAGCTTTTGTGAAGCCTTATGGCACAATTACTGCTGCCAATGCTTCCTTTTTGGCAAGTTTTTCTTCTTTTGGTTATACAATACAAAAGTTAATTTGCTTAAATTTTAGTCTGATGGCGCCTCGGCTTGTCTGATCATGACAGAGGAGAAAGCAAAGCAATTGGGCTTAAAGCCAAAAGCATATCTACGAGATTTTCTTTATGTGTCTCAAGATCCTGTTAATCAACTCTTATTGGGTCCTGCCTATGGTATTCCAAAACTTCTCAAAAAAGCTGGTCTCGCACTTAAAGATGTCGATACTTGGGAAATTCACGAAGCTTTCGCCGGGCAAATTGTTGCTAATTTGAAAGCTTTAGATTCCGATTGGTTCTGTAAAACATATATGGGTCTCAACGAGAAGGTCGGATCTCCCGATTTATCCAAGTGGAACAATTGGGGCGGATCTCTGTCGATCGGTCATCCATTTGCTGCCACAGGCGTTCGTCTATGCATGCACACGGCCAATCGCCTGGTGCGTGAGGATGGCAAACTTGGTGTAGTCGCCGCGTGCGCCGCTGGAGGCCAAGGCGTGGCCATGCTTATCGAACGTTATCCTGGAGCAACTGCTGACTGAAAATATCATTAGCTAGGATTCTTTTTTAACACCTAAATAAAAAACTTTTAATAAACACATATATTGGCTGTAACAACTATCATTTTTTAGACCTGCGAGTCATCTCTATAACTTTTGCCATATATTTTTGGTGTTATCAAAAGTATGTAACCTAGAATCAGGAACTCCCATCTAAAACTAGCATATCCTTAAAAGTTCAAGTTTTCTAATTATAAGTTATAAGAGATCCTGTAATATTAATAATTGTCATTTCGTTCTTTACGTACATACCAATCTCTGTACCCATGTATGTATACAAGTATGTATGTATGTATATACATAATTTATGTATATATGTATATAGATATGTATGCGCATACATACATATATATGTGTATGTGCGTTAAAATCTATGTATTTCGTCTCCGCAAATATGCATAGCAAATCACCCCCGCTAAGCCGCTGTGCAGCATATTTAAAAATTAACGTATTTTTGGTGCTCTCCTCCTCGATTCTCAAGAATTCAAGTAAGCTCTGGAGGTTTTCTTGGTAAACGCAGTGTTTTTTTTTTGAGTGTTGTTTTGTAATGTTAACTTACATGTGTGTGTGTGATCTGTGTAGCTATGTATGTACGTATGTACGTGTGTACATACATACATGCATAAGTGTTTGAATCTGTGTGTACCGCCATTGCAAATATGCATAGCAAATGAAGTCACTGTGCTGCCATGTTACATGGCGCCCTCCTCCTCGATTCTCAAGAATCCAAGTAAGGCCTGGAGGTTTTCATGGTGCACGCAGTGTTTCTTTTGAGTGTTATTTTGTAATGTGTGTGTGTGATCTGTGTAGCTATGTATGTACGTGTGTACATACATACATACATACATAAGTGTTTGGATCTGTGTGTACCGCCATTGCAAATATGCATAGCAAATGAAGTCACTGTGCTGCCATGTTACATGGCGCCCTCCTCCTCGATTCTCAAGAATCCAAGTAAGGCCTGGAGGTTTTCATGGTGCACGCAGTGTTTCTTTTGAGTGTTATTTTGTAATGTGTGTGTGTGTGATCTGTGTAGCTATGTATGTACGTGTGTACATACATACATGCATAAGTGTTTGAATCTGTGTGTACCGCCATTGCAAATATGCATCGCAAATGAAGTCGCTGTGCTGCCATGTTACATGGCGCCCTCCTCCTCGATTCTCAAGAATCCAAGTAAGGCCTGGAGGTTTTCATGGTGCACGTAGTGTTTCTTTTGAGTGTTATTTTGTAATGTGTGTGTGATCTGTGTAGCTATGTATGTGTATGTACGTGTGCAAATACATGCATAAGTGCATGAATCTGTGTACACCGCCCCTGTATAGAAAAACAGGTAGCAAGGCCGCTTTACGCTTAAATGGCGCCATCCTCCTCCATTCCCAGGAATTCAAGTAAGGTCTTTGTGGTGAGTGCCTATTTTTTATGTACGCATGTGCTTATGATCTATGCACTTATGTATGCGTAAATATGCGTGTGTATGCATATGTATGTATATATATAGCATTATATATTGTACGTTATATTATAAATCTAAGAGCTACAGAGCTGCTCTCTGCCTCTAACGGTTGCATAGATGTTATTACTGTTTACTACTTATCAAAGAGAGTATTTAAGTTACATCTTCGTATATCGCTCTTTATTCAGTTTCGTAAAGTTGTTTTTGTTTTAACTTTGTTTGAAGAACATCATTTTCATTGTAAGAAATATGCAGTGGAGGTATAAGAGCACATGCCGCCATTCTGCCCTCAGCATTCAGAAAATTAAATGTCGCACACGCCTACATAGGAAAAAGAAATCTTTTTAGTTTCCAGACATATTGAAAAAACTAAAGCATTCATACCTGTTCTGTGCGAAGAATCTCTACATTTATATTGTACTTTTTCATAAATTGAATAATTCGCTTCGTAAGAGTAGCTGTCGGACTCTGGTCTCCAATACCTATTATCAGTACATCGATTTTAGGTTCTAATGTTGGGAAAAGGGAAAGACTTTCTTCAGTTATGTCTTCGTATGAATTTACGTTCCACGATAGTACGGATCTAAAATGTGAAACGTTCTTAAATGGAAATTACAGTTACATAACTTACGAATATATAAATCATTTTGTTATACACACCTGGGGAATACAGTAATAGGGCCTATTAGTACCATATCGTTGTTAAGCCGGAATCCATACTGGCTATACCCTGTTATCATAAGTCCCATGTTTGTTTCGGTGTTGAATATGGAAACTTTTGTTTTGCCATCGTAATCATATGCCTTGCTAAACTTTATTCCTATTGTTGATATTCCACGCCGACTTTCCAATGACTTAAATAAACTTCTCATTGCAGCTGCTTTTAATGCCGCATTACCCAATGCTCGAAAACTCATTTGAAATTATTGGTTGATCAACTCAATAGCAAAATGTTAAAACGAATCTTTATTTGTAAACACGACATCCAAAGTGTCCTATCGATAGTCAGTTCGATAATTCATATGTCACATATGAACATAGTCTTCTCGATACTTTGAACTAAATAAGTTTCCAAAAACTTCCGATTACAATCTATAGACATCAAAATTATTAACCAAAAGAAAATAAAATTTACCCAATGAGTATTCTAACCATACCTTTAGTTATCGCTGTTATTATTTAGGTACATACTTTTATAGATTTACACTCATATATATTTCTAAAATAAGTTTTTAACAAACAAAACAGATCTTCGCATTCTTTTGCCCCTCTCTTGCTGTATTAAGCATTGCATATTATTATTATGTCGCAAGTGAAGAAGGTTACGATATTTTATAATATTGCAGGCATTATTTGATTTTCGTATTCTTAAAAATAATATTTTTTGTCTGTACTAAACGTTCATAGTGGAAATGTCTACGTATATATATTACTCGTTTATGCGATAGTTGCTCAAATAAATTTGGCAAACTGACTATAAAAGTACTCATAAGATACTCGTTAGATTTATATCGATATAGAACTTTGTCACAACACTCGATTAAATCATAGTATAATTAAAAAATTAATACCTTTTGCATACATACCCCTGTGAAATATAAAGAAAATTAAGTTGGTAACAGTTAAATATAAAAGTTGTTTACTGGTTTGCAATTGAACAAATATCGCTGTTTTGCTGATGGAAAATAAGAACCCAAAGAAAAATGACAGCATGAGCCCTCTCTAACCAGTTGCACACAATAATAATATGTATGATCTGTTGGTATATACAAACGTATGATTAATTGTCATATAAACGAAAATAGTTCAATGAATCGAAGTGAAATGTGTATATGTAAATAATATAGAAGTGCGCCACTTTGGTAGTAAGTTGTTAAAAGTTATTGTTTTTGTTTTTGAATATGATATATTTTCAGATAATTGAGTTACTCGCTTATATTATATATACATAGTTTGTGCATGTCGGAAGATATTCGTAAATACATACATATATGTATGAACAGACCTATAAATATACATCTACGTATCTGATTAAGTACATATGTATGTGTATGTGGATGATTGTGTTTATCATCATAGCAATCATTGATAAGAGACGTCAAGAATGTTTTGTAGGGCAATATGTATATATATATATATATGTATATGTATATATATAAGTTAACTTATAACACTTAGTTAGCTTATAACACTTAATATAAGGTATTATTCAACACTTATTATCGGGTGCTAGACAAGTTAAGGAACAGCCCTGGCAAGAGCAACTCTACTTACGCCGGTGAGGCTATGATTTGTAAAAATATAGATCAGTCTCGTGTTTTAACTCGTACTGATAGGACATGCTAAAAATTGGTGTCATATAAGTAAAACTAAAAATAGTGAATATAATAAGAAAAACCAATAAAATTAACTGTTTCGATTATTCAAAAAAGAACAATTAAAAGCAGGGTTAAAAAGCGTTCTTCCAGTAAACCGCTTAAATAAATATTCACTCCGTCATTTGCTCGTTAAATGGCTTATTTCATTGTCTGAGCCCGAGGCCAGCAATAAGAGGCACAGTCGCCTCTCAACCTAACTTTCAGTCACCACAGGACTGGAAAACATATAATTGGCGCCCAACTAGTGGTCGGACTCCACAACCAACAACAATTAAGACAGCAGCGCGGGAGCTGCAATTGACAGATCTTATAAAGGGATTTTTTTTTTTTTTTGTTTTGTGTTAGTTGAATCTTGTAAGTGGATACTCTAGCCAAAATTTTTCTTCAAACACAAAAAGTGTTAAAATTTATTTTATAAAAAAATAGCTAGGACTAGCGAGTATTTTATATTGCAATTGCATGTAAAAAAAAAAAAAATTAATGATCAGAACCAAGTGAGAGTGACTACTTTGGGAATTTTAGTGGCAGCAATTGATCATTCAGATCGTCAATAAAATTACATTGTGTTACTTTCTGTGTGTCTGAAGTTGTGCATGCAGTTCTCGTAGTTCAGAACTGCGACGTAATTCGACCCATCTTCTGACGGCCCGTTTTATTTTTCGCGACCACTGACCTGCGCATGTCTCGGTTCAACCAATAGAGAAACCCTCGCAGGCAGTCTAGCGACTCAGATTCCGACTGTGCAGTTCTCCCACCATCAGGTAGAATGGATGTAGATCAGCTTACGGAAGTAATAAGGACGGCTATCAGCAAAGCTTTAGCCGAACAGGCTGCTGTAAACCAGCAGAGGGAGCATGCATTGACTCAAAGAATTAATGAGTTAGCTGAACAAATAGCAGATGCATCCCCATTAGTTAGAAGTTCTTTTTTGAAAATGCTGAAGACCAGACAAAAGGCCTTTGCAGACCCAGACGAGACGTTGCCGTATAACACATCAGTCGTGGCTACCATTAGGACCATAGATGAGCAACCGATCTATACCAAGCTTTACCCATATCCAATGGGAGCGGCTGATTTCGTTAATAAAGAAATCAAAGATCTACTAAAGAATGATATAATTCAAGAGTCCGTCTCTCCCTACAATAACCCAATATGGGTAGTAGACAAGAAGGGCACTTATGAAGCGGGCAATAGGAAAATGAGGTTGGTAATGGACTTTCGTAAACTTAACGAAAAAACCGTGCCGGACAAATACCCTATGCCAAATATATCAATGATATTGGGGAATTTGGGGAGAGCCAAATTCTTTTCAACATTAGACCTCAAGTCTGGTTATCACCAGATCATACTCGCTGAACGCGACCGTGAAAAAACCTCTTTCTCTGTGAACGGGGGGAAATACGAGTTCAAAAGACTCCCCTTTGGATTAAAGAATGCAGCAAGCATTTTTCAAAGAACCATCGACGACATACTGCGAGAGCAGATTGGCAAATTTTGCTATGTTGATGTCAATGACGTAATCATCTTTTCAGAAGATGAGGAATCCCACATTAAACACGTGGATCGGGTCCTAAAAAGCTTATACAAAGCAAACATGAGGGTCTCCGTCAAAAAGTCACGTTTTTTTAAGAAAAGCGTGAACTTTCTTGGTTTCGTAGTCACCAGCACTGGCACCACGACGGATCCTGAAAAGGTTAGGGCAATACAGGAGTATCCAGAACCAAAAACGCTGTTCGAGGTTAGATCATTTCTAGGCCTCGCAAGTTATTACAGATGTTTCATTAGGGACTTCGCCGCAATAGCAAGACCCATCTCGAATATCCTGAAGGGTGAAAATGGAACAGTCAGTAAGCATAGGTCCAGAAATATAAAGGTTCAATTCTCTGAAGTGCAGCAGAGGGCATTTCAGAAGTTGCGCGATATTTTGTCATCCGAGAATGTAATGCTCAGGTACCCCGATTTTAAGAAGCCATTCGATCTAACGACCGATGCTTCGGCTCACGGCATAGGTGCAGTTTTGTCTCAAGAGGGTCGTCCTATAACAATGATTTCAAGAACATTGAAGGACAGTGAGGTTAACTATGCAACCAATGAGAGAGAGTTATTGGCCATTGTATGGTCACTTGCCAAATTAAGGCACTATTTGTATGGGGTGAAAGACATTAATATCTTCACTGACCATCAACCCTTGACCTTCGCAGTTTCGGAATCTAATCCAAATGCGAAAATCAAAAGGTGGAAAGCGCGCATTGACGAGTCTAATGCACGTATCTTCTATAAACCTGGCAAGGACAATCTGGTTGCGGATGCCTTGTCAAGACAGCAGCTCAACGCTATAAATGAGCAAGAAATTGAGTCCTGCGCAGCAACGATCCACAGTGAGGTATCTCTCACCAACACCATTGAGACGACAGACAAACCCTTGAACTGTTTTCAAAACCAGATAGTGCTAGAAGAGGCGCGTTTCCCCTTAAAACGAAGTTTTATTCTTTTTGGAAATAAGAAACGCTACTTGATCAGCTATACATGCGTCGAATCGCTGCTAGACGAGCTCGAAGATGTAGTCTCACCCAAATGCGTAAATGCTCTCCACTGTAATTTACACACGCTTGCAATGATACAAGATGCATTGGTGCGAAGATACCCAGCCACAAAGTTCTGGCATTGCAAAAATCGCGTAGTGGACATATTTGCGGTTGGAGAAGGAAGGGAAATCCTCACAGTCGAGCATAATAGGGCCCATAGGTCTGCACAGGAAAATGTTAAGCAGGTACTCTCGGAGTACTACTTTCCACGGATGGCAAAAATTGCCAAGGAAATAGTACAAAACTGCAAAACATGTGCTAGGGCTAAGTATGATAGACACCCCAAAAAACAAGAGCCACAAGAAAAGATAGAAGAAAAGATCAGAAACGCTCAGACGACGCTCAGAGCTAGGGAGAACGCAAAGCGGCAGAATAGAGTCTTCGATGTTGGTGACAAGGATTTGGTCAAGTCCAACCGACGGCTCGGAAACAAACTCACACCTTTATGTGTCGAGAAGGCCGTGGAAGCAGACCTGGGGACCGAGGTCCTCATTAAAGGAAGGGTGGTCCACAAGGACAACCTAAGATGACTCCCTTGTTTTTTTATTACACCTTTTATTATAAGCCGCTAGGCAATTTAGAATAAGTTAGATATAGTTTTTCAATTTACCTTTAGCCACTTGGCATAATTTTTATAAAACAATTTGGTGGCGGGTACACCCGATGCCGGTCATTTAGAGTAGATTAGGTCCACTGAAATGCGACTAATGAATGCCAACAGTAGACGGATAGAAGTAAACACTGAGGTTCAAGACCAGCTTAACCAGTTAACATTTGCTGTCAATGGAGTTCTCGGGATAGCCAAAACTCACAAATTGATTTTATTGATTTATTTATTTGAAACACTGAAACACTGTCCAGAAACAGAATGCGGACGATGGAGTTGCAAAGTTTAATGCTTGCTATTACTCTCGCGAAGGCTCATTGTTAGCCCAAACATTTTGGACTCCTCAGATTTAAAATCAATTTGGCTAGAGGAATCCATCAACACTATACATTTTATAACCAAATTCCCAAAAATTAAAAAAGCCTGCAGAAAAATTACGATTTATCCTGTCGTCCACAAGAACCAGCAACAGCTCTATTCGCCCCATAGTTGGATGCTAAGCCAGAACCACAGCATGCAAATCTACAAGCGGAATCGTTGAGGAAACCCCCTTGTTCACGGCACCACCACCAACAGTAGAAGCTCATCAGCCAGCAACAACTAACGAACTCTTCGCGGCGGCAGAGCCAAGCGACTCTTCATCCATACTAGAACCAAGTCAAGAAATCCCCAAAACACCGCCAACTGCATTAATTCAAGAAGTTTCACAGCCACAGGTTGCTCCAACCGCTGCCCATCTCTGTCGACACCTGCCACGGCTGCCGGCTCATCCTCATCCTCATCGGCAGCGGCGTCACGTCAACTGCAGCTGCCGGCATTGTCGGCAGTTGCCGCACGGCAACAGCAGCTACTGCTGAACGGCTCTCTGAAGAGCAAGACGAAGACATTTCCTGCGTATCGAGCATCGGTGCGCAGCGAGAGCGACGACAAGGAGTACAGGGCGGCTAGCAGCAGCAGCAACACGATACCGACGACGGGCAAAAGTCGGCCAAGATCAGCGGCAAGAACTGTAACAATCTGCTGCACAACGCCGGCAATAAGCTAAGCGTGAGCAGCAACTCCTTCGGCCTATACGCAGCATCTGGCATCATCGCCCAAGAGCCCTGTCTCCAGCAACGGCCATCTGAACAAATACTGCCTGACGGACTTGACGCGCCGCAAGGCCGAATTCAATCGCCAGCTGAGCGCGCCGACAGACTACACACATCACTCGTCCAGTAACGGCTCATAGCATCGCTGGAGTGGTGGGACACAGTCATCACGGCCATCACGGGCACGTGCACGGCCAGTCATCGACGGCGCCAGCCACACTCAAGTCGCTGCAGCTGCACAACTTTGGTGTGCATCATCCGATGCCAAGGCTCACGTCCACGTCGGGCACCAACAGCTTCAACAGACGCCACATACGTAGGCGCAAGAGCAAGCTTAGTAAGCGCCTGCTGAACGGCGATAGCGAAGAATCAGTACGCTGCTCATACTGCTCCGTATTGAATGTGAATGAGAACGACTTGCGGATTTCATTCGAGAACACCTGCACCGACTCGCTGGTCACCGCTGCTAATATGCGACCAAGGAACCGAAATGGTGCACTTTGATGATGTGTCGTTGTACGGCACTCCGAAAGAGGAGCCATATGCTGTACTTTAATCTGCATTGGCCTCACTCTTTGGTGGATCATCGACGCAAAGAAGTCCGCGAAGCACTTGCGAGGAGTCGTCGCTGGAATTGGGTCGGTCGAGGACGACCTTACACTTGAGGGGGGGGTAGTTAACTTATAACACTTAGTTAGCTTATAACACTTAATATAAGGTATTATTCAACACTTATTATCGGGTGCTAGACAAGTTAAGGAACAGCCCTGGCAAGAGCAACTCTACTTACGCCGGTGAGGCTATGATTTGTAAAAATATAGATCAGTCTCGTGTTTTAACTCGTACTGATAGGACATGCTAAAAATTGGTGTCATATAAGTAAAACTAAAAATAGTGAATATAATAAGAAAAACCAATAAAATTAACTGTTTCGATTATTCAAAAAAGAACAATTAAAAGCAGGGTTAAAAAGCGTTCTTCCAGTAAACCGCTTAAATAAATATTCACTCCGTCATTTGCTCGTTAAATGGCTTATTTCATTGTCTGAGCCCGAGGCCAGCAATAAGAGGCACAGTCGCCTCTCAACCTAACTTTCAGTCACCACAGGACTGGAAAACATATAATTTATATACATATATAGAAACACACACACATATATATATATATATATATATATATATTCATGACTAATTGGCTTAAATTAGGAGCAAACCCATAACTAAATCGCATCACTAACCAATAGGAGCAAAAGGTCAAGCAAAAAATCATTTTCGAGTGTGCGCTTACATAGATTTAGATGGAAATTGTTACGTTTTGACTTGTAATTTTGTAAAATCAACTGTGTCAGAACAACATCAGCTGATTTTTGTATCCATCAATGTATATAGATAGATGCCCAGTCATTCTTTCAGTAAAGTTTTGAGAGTGAAACATCTATTTCATTTGTTATATCTCAATTGTACAAAATAAGAACAAAAATAACTCTGACAGCTGTCAAAATGTAAGCGAAAACCAAGCAGCTATAATTATTTTCCTACATCTGCAAACTTGATATGGTCTAAATTGTATTTGATAAACACAATTTCGAACTTCAATATGTTATTTATATATACGTTCAGATATAATATAGCTCTCATGATTCGAGCACAACTATAACAAGTTAAGAGTTTGAATACGAAATCGATACGTAAAATTGTAACTGAATTCAGAAAAACCTTTTCTAAGTATTTATGAGAGACTTATGAGCTGGCAAGGGAAGGTCAGTCCAAGATAGCATAAAGTGCTTTTGGCTATTAAACCTCTTCTAAAATATGCTTCTACTGAAATATAGATTGCAATTCTTTCAGTAGGCGTCGCTTATCACCGCAAGATAATGGTCGAACTTTCATAGAAATATGATTTATTATAGAGTTTTTGTGAGAGACCATAGATGAGTCATTTATAAAATTTGAAACTGGATCTCCATGACTATAAATATATAAATATATTGTTCTATTATGTTGTCCGTATACTTATATAAGAATTTTGTTTTCTATCTCATTTTAGCTATTCACTGAAGATTCAAAGATTTTATAGATGATATCTACCTCACAACAGAGAGAAAATGATTGGCCCCAGTTCACAAATAAGCAAGATATTATTAACACTATTGTTTTTGTTAATAATATTCTATATCTTTATGGATATTGAGCTATATCTGCGAATACATAACTATGCAATCGATCGAAATTATCACATCAATGAGACATCAACGTCATTAGCATCGTTGGAGCCATCCAATGTGGCATCGGATTCAAGCAGTGCCCTCAAAATACCCACCGTTGAGAAAGAACCGTCCTACGAGTACAATACCTGGATATCATGCAATCTAAATCCGCTTTGTCATATAACGGTTAAAGCGATATTGTTAGATCACACCAATCATTATCTTTTCGCACCGCTGGCGACAATCTTTGACGATGTGGTCGGAATCTCGCAATCAACGTTCATCACTCCAAACATGATTTCGTTTTTTCATGTGATCGTTGCTTGCGTATCGGGAAAACTTGTGGCATCCGATAGCCTAGGATACAGACGGCTAGGTGTACTACTCTTTCAAATTCGCACGTTTCTGGATGATTTGGATGGACATGTGGCGCGCGTTAGGAAACATATACGCGGTGAACGCTCTGAGATTGGTACATCAGGCTATTACGTTGATGGACTTTGCGATGGCCTCGGATGCATTGCGCTACTTTTAGGTATATTCTTTTTCCTAAAGAATAACCCACCTCGTCGAGGCTACTCAATAATTCCAATGAGCGATTCCAAAAATCCGGAACCAACGATTATTCCTAAGATGAAGGCAACAACGCGAAAAGTTGCGAAAAATGTTATTAGCTTTACTGGTCAACTTTTGTTAAGTTCGACGGCCTGGAATCGTTACATAGCTGTCTATCAGAATATGTTAGAGCGAGAGGATGTCCACAGCAGTCAGTACCAGTGCCAGAATTATATATTTAAGTCGACCCTGTTCTTTTGCGTTGCATGGATGTGGCGCATTGTCAACGTGCACGCCCTGCTTCACTGTGTTTTGCTTAGTATATTTTGTGACAAACTGTGGGATTTTCTGAGAGCGATACGTTACAGTGGATATATAATATTACTAGTTGCCATTTGCTTAACTGAAATGCACATATTGGAGGCCCAGAACTATATATTTAATTCATCAGCGTGCAGTAACATCTCACTGTGATTTTACACCTATAATATATATATACATATATATATTACTGAAATACAATAATATTTTTGTAGTGGAGATCAAAAATGCCTTTTTATACCCTGTAACCATAATTTTAAATTGTGTTTGTGTGCGAAATGCGTAATGCGAAATACATTGTGATTGTGCGACTTAGGGTAATTACTTTAGTATGTATCTGTCAAATATATATTAATATACAAGTAGTTAACGGTGTTATAAACTTATTCTGGGTACAATATTTTTATTTAGCTAAGTATTTAGTTACATTGAATCTATGAGAGAAGTCTCGAATTTGTTGAGCTCAGGATTAATAAGATCCGGATTTTTAAGAAAGTATCAATTGCACTCATTGTAGTTTAGTGGAGTCTTTCCGAATTCGGAAACTAGACCTAAACTCGATGGCAGAGATCGAGATACGGGAAATAACGATTCATATTTCCTGAGTCAGGTGTATTGTAATTCAATGAAATGAATTTTTCTTAAAAATTTGACCCTTTCAGTTCTAAGTAAACAAAGAGTTTTTTTTATTTATTCGGTATTGTACATATATACATATATATAAATATATATATATATATTTTTGATTGTTTCGTATAATCGGATAACAGTAAACCAATTATTTTAATCGATTCTAATTTCAAGCATCTGCACCTGAAGAAACATCGATTCAACGCCGGTAAGCATCACTACAGCTATCATCGATATATCGAAGCTTCGATAACTTTTTGTGCATCACTAGTATACATACACAAAATTTTATCTTCACTTCACTTCATTGCAAGGAGAAATGGTGTGCTTTACGAGTTCAAATTTATTAAAAGCGAAATTGTAAATATTCTTTATATTTTACGCACTTATTAAAAAGTGGATGTGCATATTGACCTAGCGTGTGTTGTGTCGAGATTCAAGCGTGAAAAGAAAAGTGACTCCGATCTGGTTCTGACTGTGTGTGAATCTTGTGAGAGAGCGAGCTTAAAAAGGAAATATACAACATAAAATATTACGTGTGTGAGCTGTACTGAAACATACATACATATATTGAAGGCATTACATCCTGTAGTGTTACTACTAACCCTTTATTAATAGTGTAAGAATTGTTGTATAACCCCATTTAGGAGGGCCTTATCGCAAACCAACATTTTTGACTACATGCATACATACATACATATATACATTTGTATGTGCTAGTAGCAATTGTACATGTGTGCACCATGTACTTATTCGTTAGCATTTAATGTGTGCATATGTATTTACAAATAAAAAACGTGTAAAGTCGATACAATATTTCTTTACACATTCGTAAATACATATGTATGCATATAAATGTTTTCAAATATTGATTAATAATATATAAAACTTTTAATGTCAAATTAAGTCAAGGTTAATAAAATAAGTCTTCGGCATGCCGATTAAATATCCTTGCAAACATATAACAGATTTACGCATATGTCAATTAATAAAAATGTCATGGAATCTATTTTGAAGTCTCTCGAAAAAATTGACCTAGCATATGACATTTGTCATAGAACTAAAAAGTTTTATTTTCAGCATCTGCCGGGTCGGTCGATGATATATCACGCATTGTACATATGCACATACATCACATACATGTGTACATATGCATATATACATACAAACATAAATACGTTTATACAACCGTACATAAAAATGTCATAATGCAAGGGTATTTAAATTAATATATTTACTTAGAACAGAAAATAATTGACATAAGTAGAAAAGACTTTCATTAAACCTATTTATTTACAATGTCTTATTATTTTAAGTTTAGAATATAGTTTAATATTGTCAACCTAAGTGTTTTTAAATATTCTTTATATAAAATAATAGTCTAGAAATATTTGGGAACGTGGTCGAATCAATTAAAACACATTGTTAGTGCAGGTGTGGCTAAATTTCTAGTCAGGAAAATGTGTAAAAAAAATATGTTATATTGTAATAAAATAAAATTGTATTTTGTATTTTAAATTTTAGAATGTAGGAAAAGTAGAATTGATCGACATTTTTATTAAGCGAAAATTACATTATATTATTATTGTACAACTGCTGCAGATGCAAAGTTTAGTAAGAGTAAGAGATGTTGTTGGAGCCCTGGTAAACGATAAGGTATAATATTGAGCTGCTAATATTTCTATATAGTGAGGTCTTATATGCATGGACCCTATGAACTATTAAATCGCTTCAGCTTCAAAAAGCACAAATATTTTCCGGTTTTTATTGCGACTTCATATTAAAAATATAACTATTTGTTGGTTTAAAGTCTAAACCATAAATTAAGGAATTACCTTTCAACTAATACCTAGTTAAACACTTGTCTGTTCAAATGTGAATTAAATTGATTTTGAATGTTTTTATCAGTGTGCATTTAAGAAAGGTCTGTGAGCTGTTTGGAAGATATGAAATTGGAGTATGTGTTTATGAATGTGCATTTGTATATTTATATGTATTTTTGGATACGTGTGTCTGTACGAGTATGTGTATAAATATTAGTGTATGTACGTGAGTAAATATGTATTTTGCTTTTATTGAATGTTGAGATTGAGATTTATACTAAATCTAAATGTCCACACGATTTCCAAGACAAGTTACAACTGAAACATTATATTTTGCAGTATTATTTCCTTCATAGTCAAACATGTTTCCAAATTAACATTTTTTTAATTATTTATTCTTATTAGAGATTTTGACAGATTAGAAGAAAACAGCTTTGTCATATCTATAAAAATGGGAAAATATTTCATTTTAAAATTTGTAAGCTTGAGAAACAAAAGAGAGTCAAGACAATTTATAGTAAATATCTTCACTTAATTTTTACAATTTATATTTCTTTCCTTTATGCTAAATATTATATGTTTAGCCACACATATAGAACGTAGGACATAGATGTCTATAGAAAGTTAGTAATTATTTAAAATTCTATAAGATCAATTCTTGTATCAATTTTATACTAAACTTGTTTTTTGATAATACACACACTTAATAGGCAAATACAAGAACAATGTGTGAACAATCTTTTTGTCTGAGTGAGTGAATTGTATTATTTTGCTTAAGGAAAGTTTGTTAAGAATGGGATTATATGTATTTGAAGTATATATCAGAGTTGATTGAATGATGGCATAGATAACAATTAATTCATTATATTAACGTACAAGATAAATTATATTAAAAATCTTATAAATATTTTAGAATTTTGAGAGAATCGGAAAATGGATTTCGTACAAGTATCCGAGGAGGAGGGTGACGAACCAATTGAACTTCCTGCTGAGGAAGATGGAACTTTGTTAATATCCACACTACAGGCACAATTTCCTGGTTCGTGTGGACTCAAATACAGGAACATCGACTCGAAAGCCGTCCGCGGTGTTCGTTCAAATGAAGGCAGACTTTTTCCACCAAATGCGGATTCGGATTGGGGGGAATATGTCTACTTTTGTGTGTTTCCAAAAGGTATTGAAATTAACAGAAGCTCTGAAGAACAGCCCGACAGTCCTTATCGCACCATATTGCCTCCCATAGAGAACAAACGTAAGAGCGATGATAACTTGGAAAATTCAACTGCAAAAACTAAACGCATTGAAACCCGTTTGCGTTGCACTGATTTGATTGTTTTGGGACTGGCTTGGAAAACTACGGAAGACAGTTTACGCGAGTACTTTGAGAGCTATGGCGAAGTGCTCATGGCGCAAATAAAAAAAGATGGCAAATCGGGACAGTCAAAGGGATTTGGATTTGTACGTTTCGGTTCTTATGAAGCACAAATGCGTGTACTAGCAAATCGCCATCTTATCGATGGAAGATGGTGCGAAGTTAAAGTTCCAAATTCAAAGGTAATGTCAACTTTTACGACAAACAACTTTTAATTAATATTGATGTATTTAAATTGTTAGGGCGTGGGTCATCAAGTGCCGTGTAAAGTATTTGTTGGACGTTGCACAGAGGACATCAACTCAGATGATCTCCGCGAATACTTTTCAAAGTTTGGCGAGGTCACCGACGTTTTTATCCCTCGCCCATTTCGCGCGTTCAGTTTTGTCACATTTCTTGATCCTGATGTAGCCCAGTCTCTCTGTGGCGAAGATCATATAATTAAAGGTAAGCAAAACCTTTTTTATACCACATGAATGTTTATGGACTAACATGTTGATTCTCTTTTAGGGGTGTCGGTTCACGTTTCAAATGCTGCCCCCAAGGCTGAGCAAAGCCGTACCCATCAAGGCCAAAATTACAACTATAATTCTGGAAATAATTTTGGAATGCATTCGTACCATCCTCAAGGGAATCACATGAACTCTGGCCGTAACGGACACCATAGAGGTAATAACCAACACAATCTACACGGAGGTGATAACACTGCAATCGGCAATAGTCACAGCAACATTGGCAGTGGTGGCTACGGAATGGGTAGCAATAATAATTATGGTGGAAATTTGGGCGGGGGTTACACAAATAGTAGTAATCATAATAGTGGTGGCAATATGAACCGCCAAGAAGCAGGTATTCCCTATAATAGGCAGAATAATTTTCATGGCATGAATCAGCCACACAATGGCAACGTAGGTAATAGCGGTTGGATGAACAGGGGACATTTGGACATGCCTAACCTACAAGCTTTAGGCATTAATTCGCAAGGATCCAGCTCTTCAAATCAAGGGCAAAACATGAACAACCCTTTAGGCGTCGGACTTAATTTAAACTCATTGCCGATGAACCCTGCTTTGGTTGCTGCTGCGTTGAATCAGTGGAGCCTTCTTGGCAATCAGCTGCAAAATCAAAACCAGGATCAGCAGGCAAGCCTTCTATACAATATGATTGTTTCAAACAAAAAACTCTTTCAGTTACTTCTCAGGGAGGCAACTTTTTATCATGGATGGCTCAAAACAACGGAGGGCATTCTAACTCTAACATTAACTCTGGGGGCCGCAAAGGACCAAATAATCCAAACAATTCCGGTTCTAGCGCTATGATCAAAGGTGATAACTCAGCTTCTAATGATCAGCAGGTAAGCGCCTACCTGGTAGATCAATATTAAGCAATACTTAATTAATTAATTATTTTACAGAATGGTAACTCCTGGTCAAATCAAAGCAGTGGCTCCCAAAACTCTGTGGACAAATCAAATTTTCTCTAAATAAATAACTATAAACTGTAAAGCACTTTACCAATATGGTACGACAAATATCGAATTAAATCAGTTTTAATTCAACAATTAAATTATACTTGTTAATATTTATCATTGTGTCGGGACATTGTGGGTTCGATGGAGAACGATTTATTTTCACGATGCCATATTTTAAGTAAAAACAAAGAAAGCTAGAGTAAGCATTGATTACATCTGCAACTTATGAGTTTAAGACATAGGGACTATATAAAACGCATCATATTTACATCTCGATCTAAAACTCAAAAATTTGTGATCGAAATTAATCGATACAGAAGAATATAAATTGAATTTATAAATTAAATTTTTAGTTTTAATGAAAAAATTGAAAGTCGATTTTTTCGCAGCATATAAAAATGTACAAGTATAAAAAAAAACAGTATTTCAACAAATATATATTATTAGTATACATTAGATCAGGAAACTTATTTTTGATATGCAAATATTAATAGCAAAAATATTCAACATTATTGGCTAAAATTATCGAAAAAATGTTAGTTTATATTTTAGTGTTTTATTCCGCTGTTCCAAATCGAATTTAGAGATTTGACTTTAACGGAAAAGCAATTTATTTTCAGTGTGCAGTGAAACTTCAAACAGGCGGTTAAGGATCGACAAATATGGATCAAACAATTCGAAGTAGATTTATTTCTCAGCAATTATTGTATTTTATTGCTGGTCGGCGATGTTGTCAACAATTTGCTTGCACATTCCGAACAGCTGAACACTCTGTATTTATATATTCAGCGCGTACATTGGGTCTGCGTTCACAAGTTGTTTTAACTAACGGACAGGAATGTGTGAAGGTGTTTAAGCAAACATGCAGGCATTATTTGGAAGAGCCAAAATTGTTGGCTTTAAGTCCATCAACTGTAATGTACATGTTCCCATTATTAGCACGTGCAAATGTCAAGGAAAATAATCTAGATTATGTAGAGAATCTCTGGACAATACAACCTCCATCGCTTCATATCTCGCTTGCAGCTTTGGGTCAATCAACAACATTGAAAAAACATTGCAAGAGCTTGCCGAATGCTCTAAATAACTCGCGTCTTAATGAGATCCTCGAGTCAATTAATGGCCATCGCTTAACTGTGTTTGATGGTAATCTTTCCTTGGATAAATCTATATTATTTCCGCTAATTATTTTGAAGGATTCCGAATCCAAAAAGAAAAACATTCGTATAATTTGTATCGAAGACAAGGATATTCTAGCGATATATAATTGCGAACGTTTTGCCGAATGTTTGGGAGAAAATATTGGAGAAACCGTGGGAATCCAGGTGCCTCAACACAATAGCATTAGCTCCATAACGCAAGTTGTCTATACGACCGCTACATACTTTCTACGCACGTTGTTTAATAAGAATGCAACCAATAAATTCAATCAGATTTCACACTTTGTGGTAAACGATGTTCACCTACACGCTCCATATACTGATATTTTGCTATTTGAATTAAAGCAAGCATTACGTTTGGAGCAAAACCTGAGAATTATATTACTATCGCAAGCGTGTGACCCAACGCGATTTGTGAATTTTTTCGGCGAAGGCAAAAAATTCTGTATAAAACCAACAAACTTATTTACGCTGAGCATTTCTTATCTGGAAGACATTCAGAACACCATAGCCGCCGAAGCTATTGATAAAGGTCCTGAGATCTACAAAAAACAACGACAAATGTTTAGAAATAAGAATAAGAGAAATGAACAAATAGATAAATGTCTGCAGGCATACGAGGAGATTGGCACCGATGTTGCTCTACGCCCAGTGCTCTATTTAATTAATTATGAACTGGTGCCGGTGGATTATCAACATTCACTTACTGGAAAGACGGCTATTTATATTGCTGCACAGCTGGGCAAGGTACATCATTTGCGACTGTTGTTGTTCATGGGTGCTAATCCAAAGATCGTGAGTGAAAGCCATGAAAACGCTATAACTATTGCTGCTGCAAAAGGAAATGTCGAGTGCGTTGATATCCTTAACAATTTCTGTCTTCATGGCTACTTTGCTAAAAACGCTAAACCACAATTTGTTGATTACGATGTTATAGTGGATTTAATATATCTCATTTATGCTAAGCGCCATTTCTCGACAGGTAAGATATAACCATTTTGATCATTTTATAATTCTAAATAGTAATCAACATAAGATGTGGAAACCACAGACTACATATGTAATGCAAGTAAAATATTATTAAGTTACGTAGTATATGACAAATATATATATTGGTATAGAAAATTATTTATACAATGAGTATTCCGGATACAATTTCAAAGGCAATGAATTTACTCAATCTCAATATTGACTAAATCGATTTTTTAACTATCGATATGTTCTATTCCAATTGTTTCAACTCATTTAATCATATAATTTTTAGTTGAATCAATATTAATTAGGTCATCAACTAATATGTTAATCTTTAATAACTTTAATTTATCATTGACTAGTTCTACCAAATTTTATATATAATATAATCTACGACAACTGAAATGAACTATGGCTTCAAATGACGTGAGTTGAAATGAAAGTATGTAAACTCTTGAAGTGTCACAATAGTTTTACTAAAAGCACGAGAAGTTCAAGAACATGTATTATTGGTCCATCTCTACGTTTATATCGATATTTTCGGCGTTGCTATTAGAATATTGTGTTTTTGATCAAAACGATATTTCGCAAGTGCATTGTTTAATAAAAATGAACACAAATTTGGAAAGCAATAAAGGAAAAGTAATTCCGGCAACCAAGCGCCCAGATGGCACATGGCGCAAAGCGCGGCGAGTGAAAGATGGTTACGTACCACAGGAAGAAGTGCCGCTATACGAAAGCAAGGGCAAACAGTTTAGTGCCCAACGACAAACGGGCGTCCCGCCAGGCATGTGCCCAATCTTAGCCGCTGAGATCAAAAAGGTGCGCGAGAAAAAGGAGAAGGCTAAAGAGAAGAAGGTTGAGAAACAACAACTAACTAAAATTGCTGCCAGACCAACGACAGACGCCGCGAGAATGACCAACTCTTCAACTACGAATAATATTCACAATGAATCTCCAAAAGATTGTGAATTGTCTAAGCTAACGAAAACTTTAGATAAGAACTTGACAATCGTCGAAGAACCTGAGATGGATATAGCGAAACAAATCAAAAAATTGAAAAAGAAAATACGAGAAATTGAGCAAATAGAAACTAAAATCCAATCAGGCGATATTAATAAACTTGACAAAGATCAAATGGAAAAGGTGAAAAAGAAGCCGGAAATCTTAAGACAATTGAAAACTATTGAGGAAAGCTCCACTGCCATCAAACATTCATAGTTCATTGCATGTCTCGTGTCTGTTAAATAGTTTTAATAATTGTAATTTAACAGTAATCTAAATGCAGCATACATCTGTTTTAAAAATGTGTGTGTTTTCGTTCAAACTGTTCAATATTTTGATACAATTAGCAAGAAGCAAAGTGTTTTATTATTTTAAATTATTTTATAAATAAATGTGGAACGAAGCAGTCGAAATGTTTGTGTATTACTTATTTTCATCTATATGTATCTATCTATATTTTTCGCAGGAAACATATTGATCATATTGCCGACTTATTATCATTTGGTTAAGCTCAACTTTATGCTATTAAGAAATTTATTAACAGGAAATTTACAAGAGTTTTCCATATTTCTGCTACACAAGGACATGGACAAAGAGTATTTATACTCGTTGATGAAATCTCCATTGAAGACACGCAAAATTGTCTTGGCTACGGATATAATCGAATTATTGCCAATTGCAATATCATTTCAGTATCTCATAGATACAGCATGCCAGAAGAAATCTTTATATGATGGAATCAGCAATAGCATCGAGGAAAGATATGAGTGGGCTGCAAAAGATTGTCTTTTGAGAAGACAATTGATACTAGATACAAGCGTTGATGAAGGTTGGTTACACAGCAAGTTTGCCCAGATGCAATTATAAAATTAATATATCATTTACAGCTATTACTGAAAAACATTGCTTTCGCCTAATATCAAGAGATATTTACGACGGGCTGAGCGAGTCTAGCCAACCACCGATGCAGACAATGCAATTGGACAAAATCTGTTTGACTGTTAAATTATTGTGCCCAAGTTCATGTATTAGGGAATATCTCACAAATACGATTGCTCCACCTTCGGTTTTAAGTATACACCAGAATGTGGCATTTCTGAAGAAGATCGAAGTATTGGATCAATCAGAGGCGGTGACCTGGCTTGGCTGTCGCTTGATCGATATACCCGTCTCTTGCCAAATGGGAAGAACTTTAATATTTGGCATTTTACTACAATGCTTAGATCCGATATTAACTATTGTTAGCTCTTTGTCTACAGCAGATCCATTGACTCTTCCCTTCAACGACGACATTGACTCTATCTGGAATAAGTTTACGATTTACATACAAAATTGTATCAAAGGCGAACGTGCTCGCTTAGCAGAAGATCAATTGTCAGATCATATAATATTTGTACGTCTATTCCTAGAATGGCAAGCAGGATTTAAAAATAATACTGTACCTCTTTATCTAACCGACGAATATGACTTCGTGCTCAATGGACTCATGGAGCAGCTGAATTTAAAGCGTATGAAAATTGTTAGCGCCTTACGAGCTGCCAATTTGGTTCATAGCCATGGTCAACTGAGTATACAAAACGTTAACATAAAATCGAACAATTGGCCCCTGGTTAAAGCTGCTCTAACGGGCGGCATGTATCCCAATATTTGTGCCGTAGATCAAAAGCAAAAATCACTGCATTCGGGTCAGTCGACAAATGTTTATTTGCTTTCGAATTCGGTTTTGCGTAACTTTTTGGAACCATTTCAAACAACGGCTCAATGGATCGTCTGCACGAAAGAGAAAAATATAATCAGATATGCAACTGCTGTGACTCCACTGGCTGTGGCTATGTTTGCAGGTTTGTATTCCATATAAGCTATATACCTATATGAGCTAATATTGCATTATCTTTCCAGGATCAGAGAAAGTGGGGTTCGGGCACAGCCCAGAGATCTCGTCGCCATCAGCTAAAGACAACATAAGTTTTTTCATAGACGAATGGATTTGGTTGAGTGTATCGAAATACGATTTTGATCTCGTGGTAAAAACACGTCAAGAGTTTTTTAAAGCCTATCAATATTTCCTAAAACATTGCTCCGCGTTGGACAAGTGGCGAAACGATTCTAAAAATCCGTTGCCACATTTACTCTTTGAAACGCTGACTAAAATCTTAGAAAACGAAGACGCAGCAGCTGGATTTAAGAAATGCTCCAACATTGGTTTTCGACCCGCTCTCAAATTACCAAATCTGTATTTACTAAGTGTCAATTCACACTTCACTTGGCAGCAAATGGATGAAGCGAATATGCATCGTATGGAGAAGCATTTCTTTTTGCTATATACACAAGATAATCCAAACAGCTTTTATAGAAAAAGCGATGCAGCCTACATGGAAAGTATTCTTGGCAAGTTTGTAAGGCCAATTGACTCAGCTACTAGGCATATTTATTTAATTTTATATTCAAAAAAACCTGATGTGGCATTAAGCATTTGTCGAGCTCAAATACAAAATGATGAATTTGTGTTAAAGGAATATTTTAGAAATACAATCGCATTAGGAGAAATTTTGTAAGTATATGAATCCTTAACACTTTGTTGTTGTAGTGAAACAGCAGCTCTTTAGCCGTGGGTTCAGGGTATTTTTTAGCCAGGCACTGCTGCTCAGAGCACTCTTTCTCTTCCCATTCAAATCGAGAACATATTATAATATATATTTCTCTTTTATAGGCAAGCCTGTGCATCTTTAAATGTGCCCGCTCCCAATTTCGATGGCCGGCATGTATTGAGGCTTGTGGATAAAAGAGTTGGAAATTTAATTATGGATTTATTTGCATTTCGACACCATTGGATACACACACATAACAATTAATATTAATTATACAATCAGTATTAGTATTGATGGCGTTCAGCTAGTAGAATGTGTTCCAATATTGATCTAAGAGTATCAACTAGGAAAGCACTTCGGATAAATTATGTTACTTAAGCATAGTTACGGATAGTACAACTACAATAACTATGTATTACTATTATCATAAAAGTGAAATTGAATTTATTACATACGTAATCTCATATAGAAACTTAATTGTGTATAACTTGTAGACATGAATGTATAGGAAAATGCATCATCGTTTCAATTATCATTTTTTCTTCTTCATACAATACAAAATATTATATTCTTTTTATAATACATTTGGTTTATATTCGATATTAGTTATTCGAGATTATTCATGGAAGTACATGTAAATGGTAATGTAGATTTACAAACTATATAAAATGATATATTTAATGGCACCCACAGGACTTAACGATCATGTTTCTATACTTTTTCAAATTAACATTCTCATCGTTGAGGTGATAGAGCACAGGCAATGCGCCCAATCGTGTTGGTGCACAGCAGGGCTTGGGCACTCGCTTCGGCTCGATGAGATGGACCAGAGTTTGAACAATCGCATGATTCGTCGCATTCATATGCGCATTAAGTGGAAAATTACATTCGCCGCTGCAGTAGAAGGCGCCATAGCCATCTGGTGCAATAATCCAATCGTGCCAGCCCAGATCTTTGAAGTCAATATAAAGTGTTTGCATCTGACAGCTGCGTGTATTCTCGACGATATTTTCTGCAAACGGATTCACCGTCTCCGATTTGCTCTTCTTTCGCTGATGTAAAGTACTGCGTTTTGTACGCTTCTGTGAGCTGTGCGAGGCTGTGGCCTTGATCAGTTCGGGACCCCTAAAAAATCCAATCATAAACGGTTGATTGTCATCGTCTACCTTGATCTTGCGATGTATCAAGCCAATATCATCCAATTTAATTTCACGATCTGGCTTATTCAGAGCGTGTGCTCCGATATAAATGCCATGATTTTCATTCGAATTGATGCGCCAATCGTGCAAAGCTTCTGTGACATTCAACTCCAACCAGCCAACGTAATCACCCGTTGTGTTTACCGAGGAAAGCGGCTCCAACGTATTCTGAGACGATCCGCTCGATCGTATCATATAGACGGTAACCGTAAATTGTTTATTAGTCGTCATCCATTTGCCTTCATTTGAATTCTGATAGATACGCAATTCGGACATCATTAGATAATTATCATTGGGTATATTGCTGACATCGAACCAGAGACGACGTCCATGTTCGTGTCGCATCTCTTCGACGTTGTGATTGCGTTTATTTAAAAATGTCATTATAATATCACTTTCATCAATTGCACGTTTATCGAGATCTGTTATAAAATTCTTTTCATTTTCATTTAGATCACGCTTGGATCGACTGTGTTCATTGTTATTTTGAATACTGAGTCCTTCTTCAGCGGTAATGCGATTATAAACATCAAGTAAAAACTTCGGTGCCGATTTTCTTAGAGACAGCCCATGGCTACGATGATGCATGGGACGATCAGCTATTCCTAGGAACTCCAATATTTCATAGGATACATCCAGCTTGTCATCGTCAGTTAGTACACGTTGCATTACCGTCTGATCTTTACCATTATCGACGTATATGCCAGATTGTGTCGATTCGGCTTGAGGCGCAGTAAAAATTATGAATATTACGGCGAAAAGCGTTTGTAAAACGCCAATTGATGGTGTCATCGTGTTTTACACAGTAAGTCGATTGTTTTAAACTGCCAGCAAAGTAGACTGTTTCTTTGACTGTTCTATTGTGATCTTTTCTATTAGTATAGTTTTTAATGTGTACATTAAATATACATACACACTGGTATTAGATTCGTTGTATGTATCTTAATCCCATGGATGCATTTTTTTGTTAGCTATTTCCAAATAAGTTGGCAGAGCCAACATGATCGCCAGTGTGTTGCACCTGCGGAACTAGTTAACTAGCTCTTTTTATCTCAACGTTCGTAAGCCGTGATTTTTGTATATTACAGTATCACAGTTTCAAATAACATTTGTATAAATTTAAAATATCAGTCACTTAATTTAAACAAATTTATTTCACAAAACGGTACCAAGCATTTAATTTATGGAAAAAATTATATCAACAATTATTTGAACGTTAGTAATTTTCTGTTTCAGTTACGAAATAAATATATAATATTGCAGTGTTAACTATCTAAATAATTTGTATTATGCATACACCAATTTACCAACTGTATAGTACACAGTTACAAAATTTAAATTTAAATTTAAAATATTTTCCCGCTTTTACATTAACTCAAACAGCTGTGTGTAGCACCAGCTTCATCAAAACTCAACAGTGTTTTTTTTTTCAATTATTACATCTAAATATTTTAAAATACCTGTAAGCATTCAAGTGCTTGTAGCAAAAACGTGGCTTTGGACTTAAAGAATTATTTTTTAATTTATTCAAAAGAAATTGTTATCGTGAAAATATTTTATAATATCGATAAGTTTTTAGTATTTAAGACGTCAGCTGATTGCTCATCAGTAAACTACTCAAATAGTTGGCTGCTCATTCTGAAAGAGAAAGAGTCAGTAACAGTTCGTTGAGTGGAAGCATAATAGCGAATCTTATTTCAGTGAGTAGTTACATAGTGTTTTCTTTTTTTGTTAAATATATATATTGACATATTTACGCATTTTGTTGTTGAAAAGATTCCACAAGTGTCAAACAGAAATGATTTATTTAATTACAAATACTGTGGTGTATAAAATTTATATATATTATAAATAGATGTTCGATGATTAGTAATATAATTATTGACTAGATACTATGTATAAAAATATTTTGTATATGTGTATGTAGTGCATATATACGTATTTCCGTAGTTTGTTATTAAACCAGTTTTGCGGCATTGCATAGAAATGTGAATTGTGGTATTAGAGATACTTTCATTTCAGAAAAATGACAACAACATTCCTACACACATACACACACAAATATTTGTACATACATACATATATAGTGGTATGAACCAATAAAGCGAATTAAAGATATAATTCTGTTCATTTGTATGTCGATCAAGAAAGGTTTCTCATGCTCAACGGTTCTAAAATGAACAAAATTTGTTTCACACGTGCAAACATACATATATGTTTAGATGTATATGGATATGTATATGATGTCACCATTATATTGTATATGTATATATATATGAGTGTTTTTTATATGAATGAAGAATTGAAAAATATATATTTTTGCGTGTGGTTTAGCCAAGCAGCAAGAGGAGGCATATTAAAGCTATGCGATTGTATAGTATTTATATTAAATGAGTAACGGCTCTTTGACTAACAGCTATTTAAATTCAGTTATTTTTTGAAAGAATGTCTGATATAATAGAAGACAAAAATAATTTAACGTATTCATTTATTCAAAATTTGAATAAAATGTTACTTTTTGTTAAATATATGTTTTATTTTGGGTAAATTTTAAAAGGAAAAATTCGATAGTAATTTATAAAATTGAATGAATTATTATGTTATAAATTGATAATTGATATTTAAAAATATTAATAATTTAATGTTGATTAAAATAAAAATGACCAAAATTTTTGTAATTTTTTTAAGTAAACAATAACCATAAAACGAGTTCCTTTAGATATTGCATAAATAATTAATTCTACAAATTATCAAGAATACACAAAAAATAAAGAGAAACAAGAAATACCAGTTATCTTTCGAATTCGCCGAATATTATAAACAATTGCAAAGATAACAAATGCTAGATTCTAGTAAGCTAAATATAAATATTTATATTTGTATTCCACCACAAAAACATGTCAAGGGTATTTAATTTGCTCTATAATTGTGACTAGTCTTTTACATGCTGGTCCAAGCCCTTTTTTTTATTAAAGATTATTTTTCCATTGTGTTGCCAATGTTTTAAGAATGAGTGTGACTATTAAGTAAGTCTCATTGCGTGACTTCATATAATAATCAAATATATATATGTAAGGTTTCTGAGATAATACAGACACAATTACCTTTGGGATAATTTAGAACTCTTTTGCTGTCCCAAGCTGTTCATTTATTAAACAAAATTAGTAAATGTATAAGAGGCTTGGTACAGCACTAAGAAAATATATAATAGAAAAAGTTTTGGATGGACAGAACATAATTGAGAGTGCTGCCGTCAAGAGCAGTCAACAAGTCAAAGCTAAAGATTACATAGAACAATATATATTATACAGCCAACACTATATCTATATGTATATAATATAGGCTATAGACTGAGACTGCTTAGCTGGAGCTAAGGCAATACTTAACCAATTACTACACGTTCTGCTCTTTAGGAAATTTCCTCTGTATCACATATTGAACTTAATTGACATTAAGATCAAGTGAATTTATAAGGCATTAGAATTATAGTTATTTAAAGAAAATATGGGTAAAACTATATGATAAAATCAAACTTTCATACACAATTATTTTCTTTTTTATTTCAAAATGCCTTTGCTCTAAATTCATTTGTACTTGGATTTGCAGGTCCTCATTCCAGGATGGATGAACTCAAAGGATTTTTTAAGCAGGCCGGGCAGGAGTTTCTCAATGCCGCCGGCCAAGCAGCAATGGGCGCGGCCAAGGAAGTCGTTGGCTCCGTGATAAACGAAATCTTCGTCAAAAAGGAAGCGGAGACAAAGCGTATCCTGCCAAGCATCAAGAACATGCGCGTGGTAAGTGATAAATGTAATCACAATAATTGCTAACGTAATGCATGATCTACTATATCTATATACTATATAATACTCCCATATACATTCATATCATTTATACACTTCTAACATTTCTGTCAATTAACTGTCAAAAAACCATAAACCTTAAAATTTAGCGACCATTGAATAGTGAACCTATATTTTATGGTAATGTAAGTAAGGCCAATAAATTGTCTAAAATACTTTTTGTGTGTTTGTTCGTGTTTTTTATTGCAAGTGTTTTAGCTTTAAGTTGTCTAAATACACAAGTTATTACTTATTGGTTAAGTTCGTTAACATTTTTATTAGCTAAGCTTCACTTTAACACTTTTTGATTTAAATATATATATATATATATATATATATATATATATATATATATATATATATATGTATTAAAATGTAGTCTGTCAAATAATATATAAAAAAAGAATTAAAATCATTTTTAAATTTATTAATAGGTTAGTTTAAATGTATATGGGAAAAAGAATTGAATTATCTATGTGAATATTAACAAAGTCTTAAATTAGTCTATAAATTTTAATCATTGAGCAGATTAGCGTTTGGTGTAACTGAGCAGAACTTGACCGGCTTATATCAATATCTACATTATATATTATTATATATAATGTCCACGGGTGTCAACGACTGCATAATACTCTGCATAATTATTTTTAGTAAATGTCACAAGTCTGCAGTAACTTTACTAACAAATCTTAAAGCTATCATTATTTTCTTGTTGATATTTTAGAGTATTATGACTTCTATATACTAAGCTTCAATAATAATATTTATATCATAATCAATTTTTTCCAATCTTATAAATTTGTATATTGTAAAAATGTGTAAGATATTTTACAATATATATGTATCTCTAAGTGTAATATTCTCTTAAATAAAAAGAATATATTTCGACAGTTGCTTAAAGATAAACTCATTCAATTGTCCGCAAAAACAAATCACCAAAATCTGTAAAAAAAAACCATCCAATGCGATCTTATTAACAATTAAATATACTTTTCTAGCTGGGTGAAACACAATCGAATCTTGGTCCCTATTCAGAGGTGCAGGATTATGAAACGCTATTGAATAGCTGCTTGACGAGTGGATCGCTGTTTGAGGATCCAATGTTTCCGGCTAGCAATGAGTCGCTCATGTTTTCGCGTCGCCCAGATCGCTATATAGAATGGTTGCGTCCTCATGTAAGTTGTAGTTAAATAAAGTAAATAAAGTGAAAAAATATGGATTAACTATTTGTAATTCTAGGAAATCGTTGAAAATCCGCAATTTTTTGTGGAGGGATATTCCAGATTTGATGTGCAACAGGGCGAACTGGGCGATTGCTGGCTGTTGGCTGCTACTGCCAATTTGACACATGAATCATCTTTGTTCTTCCGAGTAATACCGCCTGAACAGAGTTTTCAAGAGAACTATGCTGGAATATTTCATTTTCGGTTTTGGCAATACGGTAATACATTGAAGAAATGCTGATCTGATCTTATTTCTTGATCATATAAAAAATTTAAAAACAATAATTTGACTATCTTTATACGATAAGGTAAATGGGTTGATGTGATTATTGATGATCGTTTGCCAACGTACCGAGGAGAGTTGCTCTACATGCATTCGGCTGAGAAAAATGAGTTCTGGAGTGCACTGTTGGAGAAAGCATATGCCAAGTATGTATATATGTATCATAAAGACATTGTATGATATTAATGTATATTAACTTAGACTGCATGGATCGTATGAGGCGCTTAAGGGTGGCACTACATGCGAGGCAATGGAAGATTTCACAGGAGGTGTCAGCGAATGGTTTGACCTTAAAGAGGCGCCAGCAAATCTGTTTAGTATACTGCAGAAAGCGGCAGAACGTAACTCCATGATGGGCTGCTCAATTGAAGCAGATCCTAATGTGCTGGAAGCTGAAACGCCACAAGGATTGATTCGGGGACATGCGTACTCTATTACTAAGGTTCTGTACTTATTATTTATTTTTAGTTTATTTAGTGCTTTAGTTATTGGTGTGTATATATCCGCAGGTATGCCTCATTGATATAGTGACACCAAACCGTCAAGGAAAGATCCCAATGATTCGCATGCGAAACCCTTGGGGAAATGAAGCTGAATGGAATGGTCCATGGAGCGATAGCTCACCTGAATGGCGATATAT